CTCGGAAGCATTAATCACAACAAAATTACAAGAGAATTGCAGACTCGGTTTGATTGAGTCTGTACATGAGGGATAATGAATACGTGCAACATCCCTCACGCCCCCTAGCACCGGCTTGAGCGGTACTCAATTCTCAACACTTAATAGTGCTGGCATCAATGATCCCGAAGGACCAGAAAAATATAACAACACTGAAGTGAAGTACGGGGCAACTTTTTACAGCTGCCACACAGCACTTGACACCTGCTGTTGTGAAGTATAAAAATCTGGAAGCAAAGTGATCCCTCGGAAGCATTAATCACAACAAAATTACAAGAGAATTGCAGACTCGGTTTGATTGAGTCTGTACATGAGGGATAATGAATACGTGCAACATCCCTCACGCCCCCTAGCACCGGCTTGAGCGGTACTCAATTCTCAACACTTAATAGTGCTGGCATCAATGATCCCGAAGGACCAGAAAAATATAACAACACTGAAGTGAAGTACGGGGCAACTTTTTACAGCTGCCACACAGCACTTGACACCTGCTGTTGTGAAGTATAAAAATCTGGAAGCAAAGTGATCCCTCGGAAGCATTAATCACAACAGAATTACAAGAGAATTGCAGACTCGGTTTGATTGAGTCTGTACATGAGGGATAATGAATACGTGCAACATCCCTCACGCCCCCTAGCACCGGCTTGAGCGGTACTCAATTCTCAACACTTAATAGTGCTGGCATCAATGATCCCGAAGGACCAGAAAAATATAACAACACTGAAGTGAAGTACGGGGCAACTTTTTACAGCTGCCACACAGCACTTGACACCTGCTGTTGTGAAGTATAAAAATCTGGAAGCAAAGTGATCCCTCGGAAGCATTAATCACAACAGAATTACAAGAGAATTGCAGACTCGGTTTGATTGAGTCTGTACATGAGGGATAATGAATACGTGCAACATCCCTCACGCCCCCTAGCACCGGCTTGAGCGGTACTCAATTCTCAACACTTAATAGTGTTAAGTCTTATATAAGATAGCACAGCAGGAGTTAGAGAAGAGCAGTATTAGGTATAGAAAGTATTACAACAGGAAAGCTAGAGATAGAACTTTTAAGAAGGGAAGTAAAGTACTGGTTCTTATACCTACAAAACGCAATAAGTTGTTGTTACAATGGAAAGGTCCATTTGTAGTTTCCGAGGTCGTGAACAAATTAGATTATCGGATAGACATAGGTAACAATAAGATTAAAACTTTCCATGCCAATATGCTGAAGGAGTATGTTGAAAGAAATTTCGAACCAGAACGAGGTGCATTGGCAAAGGTAAGTGCAGCTGTTGTAGAAGCGGAAAATGGGTATGATAGATTAGAGGAAGATGATAGTTTAGAAACAAGTTACCAAGATGATAGTGACATATTGTTATGTCCATTGAAGAAAGGTTCAGAGACATATAAAGATGTTCAGGTCAATCCTGACTTACATACAGATTGTAAGATTCAGATTGCAACCTTGTTAAAGAAATTTTCAGATGTTTTAACAGATATACCCGGAAATACGTCATTAGTTCAGCATGACATTAAGTTGACTACGTCAGAACCGGTAAGGACTAAGGGTTATCCTATTCCTTTTCACTCACAGCAGATAGTAAAGGAAGAAGTTGATAAAATGCTAGAGTTGGGAGTTATCGAACCTTCTAATGCTCCGTTTTCTAGTCCAATTGTCCTTATCAGGAAAAAGGATAACACGATTAGGTTCTGTATTGATTTTAGACAGATCAATAAATGCACGGTATTTGATGCGGAACCGATGCCCAATATGGAACAGATATTTTCGAAATTATCAAAATACAGGTATTTTTCGAAAATTGATCTTAGTAAACATTCTGTAGACTGATGAGAAAGGTTTTGAAAGATCTAGATCACTCAGATAGTTTTATAGATGATATTTTGGTCTATACAGTCACATTGCCAGAGCATATCAATGCATTGTATGAGTTATTAAGAGAGTCTAGGCTTACTGCTAGACCGTCCAAGTGTTTCATATGTTTTGAAAAATTAGAATGTTTAGGTCATATGATAGGAGGTAGTAAGTCCATTGAACCTGTTCTCAGTAAGGTCAAGGCAATTCAGGAGACCGAGAGACCCACGACTAAGCGAGGAGTCCGGCAATTTTTAGGGGTTGTGTCTTGGTACCGGAAGTTCATCCCTAACTTTGCCGCCATTGCTGTTCCGTTGACCGATTTGACAAAAAAGTTTCAACCAAATCGTATTGAATGGGGTGAAAGTCAGGAAAAGGCTTTTCAGACTCTTAAGGCTAGTTTGACCGGTCCGCCCATTTTGAAATTACCAGATTTAGACAAGATATTTATTCTCAGAGTTGATGCTTCTGATTGTGGATTAGGATCTGTATTACTTCAAGAACAAAGTGAGGAGAAATTTCCAGTAGGTTATGCCAGTAGAAAGTTGTTACCAAGAGAACAGAAGTATTCTGTAATAGAGAAGGAGTGCCTTGGTATTGTTTGGGCAATTTCTAAATTTCACAGATACTTGTTTGGTAAGGAATTTATTCTAGAGACAGATCACCAGCCGCTTTTGTATCTTAACAAGGCAAAGTTAAGTAACTCTAGAATAATGAGACGGTCTTTGCTTTTGCAGCCATACAGGATGAGGATTAGAGCAATCCCAGGTAGAGAGAACATAGGTGCAGATTATTTAAGCAGGGTATAATGTAGAGTGTAGTGTAGTATTTATGGTGGTTATAAATATGGTGTACAGTATTTCTACTTATATTTTTGAAATTTGTCGTTTTCACTTTGTTGTATTTAAAGAAAATTTATCAATTTTCTTATTTAAAGGGGGGCGTAAATGTCACAAAGTGAAAGTACGTTTGTAAAATTTTGCATTATATTTTCACGCCGAACCTCATTTTTACTCTATATTCATTGTTGTGAGATTGCATCATCTTTTGTTCAATTTAGAGTTTTCGGGTGAAATTATTATTTAGAGTATTTTTATGGTTTGCATAAATTTCCATGTATCAATTTAAACATTTTGCCGTTTATTTCACAAAAATCCTTTCAGTAATAAGAAAGTTACATTTTTGTTTTATGAACCAGATATATGTATTATGTCTGTATTTGAAGGACGGGCCTTTATTTTACATAACTATTTTTCCCGCCGTCCCAGCTTTATTTCGTGCAAATCGATTTTTCATGTTTTGCACGATTCGTTTTCCCGCTCAGTACTCAGTAGTTTGCTATATATTGACTAAATTTTAAGTGACATATTACAATGCACTGGACGTTATACAGGTCACTATGACGGTGACAGACAAATTATATTTGTCATAAAATTACAGCTTGTACAAGGTAAATTTAATTTTCTAGTGATTTTGTTTCATCAATTTTTGCTATTTCGTAAAATACTATTTTCTATTAGAATTATAGTTTATTTGATTCAGGTTTAGTTATTTGGCAGTAATTTATTGTTTTCTTAATTTTCTAAATTTTTGCAGATTAAATTTTAAAAGCTCTTTTTATTCTAGTGTTTCGCTATTGCAAATTTATACCGAGACATGTTAATTGGTGTATGTTAATTGAAGTTTCAATTGTATTGTAATTGTATAGGAGCCATGAATATTTTATAGATCTATATATATCTATTCATTAATAATTTATTATGGTTCTACCGTATTTGTGTAACTTTATGTAAAATGCTGCAGTATCGTAATGATTTGTTTCAATCAATTTAATTTACGTTATCATCTTACTTCATTTCATTTATCATCAGTTTTTGTTATAAGTAAATACAACGTATCAAAACTAACGTATCTCTAGAGAAGGATCTTCAGTGGCATGATTTTGGAAGACGTTTATTTATTGGTGGTTATTATGTGGCGTATATTTGAATATATTTGCAACGCAGTATTATGCGGATGTGATTGAATTTTTGTTCCACGGAATGTATGGTGTACTATAGTGGACATTTTGTTTATTCAAAGAAGCACGTTATTTTATTGGAAACCGACAAAGGTCGAGTCTTTTCCAAGGGACTTTATATTTACCCTTATGTTTGATTATCATGGAACTTATCATGTTTTATACTTTGTAGCTTCTTATTTGAGGACACACCCGAAGATGACACGGGCCCTCCACACGTATGTCCATGGCTAAAGGGTGACGCATGCCCTTGTTCAGGATCCTATCAACTGTGCCAACACTGTAGGAAGTACAGTTACGCTTGATAAGATTTTATACAAGACGCCCGCCATTGTGACGAATTTTGTTTAACAACGCCACCACTTTATTGAAACATCATGACAGAGACTTTACGGGAGAAATAGACTGAGATACGTTGATAGTGTTTGTTTACGCAGTGACTTTTCATCTATAATCATTTTTCATTTATAAATATTCATTTTTTGTAAATAAATTTGTATATATTTTCTGTTCTGAGTTGTTGGTTGTTTTAGATAGCAATTGTGGTCGGCCTGGTATCCCATCGTAGTCCCTATTGTGACAGTTTCATAAGATGATGTTGCATTTAAAATGCCTTAGCTCTAGGCCTTATGCTTTCAAAGAAGATTTCGAAAGAAAATATTTTCAAAATATGTTTTAAAATTATCCCCTTTGACCAATATGTTCAATAACTCTAAACCATTACGTAATATTATTAGAAATTTATTTAAGGACAAATAATAGGCAGTTTCATCAAATTTAAAACAAGTGGTTTTGTTAAAAAATTAACGATGAACGCTGGGACAGACGGGACGGACGTACGCACGATGGCCCCCTTGGAAAATTGTGATTATAAAAGCTTAAAGTCTGCACAAATTATACATTTGATTGCAAATACACCTGTCTTTAAAGAATGTTCTTATTTTACGACAAAACTGTGAAATAGATTACTGTTTATTAGACTATTTAACCATCTAAAGAAATTAAAACTGAATTTGCTTTTCAATTCAAAAATAATGTTTAGGTAATGTTTTCTCTAATCTTTCTTTTTTTATAAAATAAATTACTTAATATCTTCATCTGTTTGGACGGCTGTACATATAGACAAATCAATTGTTGTATACGAGATATTTAGAAACACATCTTAAAATTTATTATACATTTTGTAATGAAATTACATGACAATACACAGTGTGCATTAACTATATAGTAAATTTACTTTAAATTGGTAGCTTAATAAATAACAAAGCACTGTTTGAGTAAAGAAAATTTAAAAATCATATGAAAACGTTTACCTATGACCTGGTAGACCTCAAGTGTTCTGACTAACATTTGTCCGGAATTGATCTCTTTAAGCTGTGACACGCCATTACCATCTTCATCGTCAGTATTTTGCCTTTCTACAGAATATGAGAACCTCACGTTTAGGGAGCCATTCAATTTCAGAAAATCCCCTTTTTTCTTCGATTCTTGCTTTGAATCTTTTTTAAATGTCTGCAAATCATATCGATTAAACATTCCTACACCAAATGTAGGTCCAAAATTTTTATCACATACTATTGCTTTATCTGTCTGACCTCTTCTAATTGGCAAGAAGACACATTTAGCATCTAATCTGTCGTCCTTTTTAAAAAGGAATGCGTTTTCATCTTTGACTTTTTGCCTGTTAGTTGAACTCCAGCTTTGAGATGTATAGCCGCCAAATAATGTATTAAATTTGCCGTATAAGATAGTGACAGTTGGGCCTTTAGCGTCACATTTTGCATGAAACTCCCCTACATCTGCTTTGTTAGTGGTATTGCATGCATAAAGCAAAGAAAACCCTATTTTCTTATTTTTGTCTTTACTGATCCGTTCACCAATTTCATCCAACAGTTGTTTCGACGTATTCATCGTTTTGCTAAAAATATATTATTTAAAAGCATATTATTTATAATAAAATCCTTTGAGACTTCCGGTTTGGAGTGTGCAATATGTATGTAATGGTGTGTATAATTCTCCGCGTTACATCGTATAGCCGAGAAATATTATCTCAACATAGCCTGACCCAAACCGGTTTTGTTTGTTATTTGCTCTGTCAATAACTAGATGTCTTGTGTAAAAGTGGTCACTTCAACCTTACGAGTAACTTCTATTTTTCCAACATGAGTGACATGGATATAAATTCGGGCAGAAAAGTCAGCCATAATTTTGAAAACAAATGGTAAAAATCGACATTCCCTAGGAACCCTTAAATGTGACATGCTTAAGAGATTGTTTTTTATATAGGTGAAAATTTTTAATCATTCACTATTAAACATTATCAATATCATAGATTGTGACAATCCAAAATGAAAAAAGCAATGGAGAGCAATATAAGGATAAAGCAAACCTAAACATTATAAAAATTATATAAAGCCAAGCAGTTCGTTGACAGTGACACCGGTCGTTGACAGTGACATCGTTCAATGTAATGCCAAAACCGTTGAAGCTAAAAAGATAAGAGGAAACAGACAAAAGCTAATGCAGAAGCGAATTAGGATTGCATGTGGAACATAAGTATAATACAAATCCACTTGTATACGATTCTTATGATGAAACACGCTTATTTAGCAAAAAGTCAAAGTCGGAACCAGACGGCCGGTGGCTATACGTCAGCATCATCTACGGATAATGTACCGCCTAAAACGGTGGGCCAGGTTTTTTATTCAAGTCACAAGCAGTAATTGAAATTTAATGATATATCTATGTAGATTCGTCCGCGGTAAAACGTGCAAGAGCATGTTTATTTGACATATAAAAAATAAACGCGCGTCGTATTAAAACGCCCGATGCTTAAAATTCTTTGTTTATTTATGTTTAAATATAAGTTATATCTTCAACAATTTAATTTTCATGATATATGATATACCTTTAACGATCTTAAAGGTCAGCGATAGATTTGACAAGTGTCATAATTATACACTATTGTGCTCCCCTACTGCGCTCGTTATGATAATTGATTCATGTAATATCATCAGAAACCTTACAAAACGTTGCTTATATATCAATTTGATCGTGCCACCGATATCTGATATTTACTTCAAGTCCGAATTTATATTTGTAAATCAAACTAGGAGTTTACAAAGATACATAAGATTAGCGATTTATTTTGGTAAATTATGATTATAAAGCATGCACAGAAGTCATTAATGATACGAATAAAATGTATATGTATAATGAATGCTTATAAATATGAATAGATAAATCAATCAATAAAGGAAGGAAGAAAGAAAGGAACCAGCCAGCAAACGAACGAACGAACGAACAGATAAATTAATGAAAACAGATTGAATAGAAATGAATACTTTACTTCGGTGTTTAATTATTAAAGTAGAAGTGCACAAACAAATTGCAATAAACTTTACAAAACAAATATAATGTTTCACACTTTTATAAATAACCGTGTCATTGAATGAATAAATGAATAAAAAAATGAATGAATGACGAATAAATGGATGAATATGTAAATAAATTAATAAATGAATGCATGAATGAATAAATGAATAAATGAATAAATGAATGAATTAATTAATTAATACTTTATACCTTTATGTTTTTCATGATTTAATAGACATTTTCAGGGTATATTATTTACGGTAAAAATAAGCAATAATATTTAATTGCTCGACCTTTTTGCGAATGAATAGACAGAGATATCTTTGATTGCGTTTATGTACTTTGAAGTATAATCACTGTCCTATGTGGCGTATATTTCGTGAAAGACATTATTAGATACAAACTTGCACATATAAAAAGAATAATGTGAGAGGTCTTTTTGCAACTGTGGAAGATTTATTTAATTCAAAAATATTTGGAGATATTTTTGCATACGAGTCAAAGGCATAATGAAAGTTTATAAACTAGAATTATTTAACAAAATAGAATTTATTATAAAAATTGAATATAGACCTTTGTACAAAACGAATTTTCCATAGTAACGAATGTTGCATTTCGCGCATGCGCATTCTAAATAGGACAAGCACGCAATAACGATGACGGCAATTTATCATATTTAAAGGCTTTAATAGGCGTTATTTCAAGTTATGTCACCCAGAAATCACTAATTTTGGGATGACTTAAAGCAGAAAGTACTTATAACGTAAATTTTATCTATAGATCACAGATAAAAGAAATTATAACGGACAATAATTCAATGAAAAATGTACAAAAGTCCTCTTTTAAGATTTTCCATCAAAACTTTAAAATCTAAACATATATTTAACGTGTACATCATTGCACACTTTGTATTGTACACTTCCTTTGAAAAGGTTGATTTGCAAGGCGGTAAGTGACACGTGACCAGTTGTTTATTTCCAGCTAGTTTACAATATCATTCAACTGGGACGTTTTAGTACATATACCATGACATAGTTTATCACGTAAAATTATGAAAATCGTAATTTAACTAACTTCCACATATACAAAATTGAATCAAATCAATATTTATTGATTTTGAGAAGTGACAAACTGTGTGACGTGCATTCACGTGTTTTACGAGGTTGTATGATAAAATGGAAGTGTTCTTTCTCTACCCACTAGACATCTTTATTTATCAATATTTTGAAAAATTATGTAAATATATTAATGTGACTTAAAAATTTTCTGTTTAGTTTCAATCGGATAAACTTTAGGATAAAATCAGGTAAACTGAAAAATAGAAATGCATTTTCACGTGTTCTGACTTTTTTTAGAATAATAATGAACCTCGATTTCATATGTTTCAAAATATTGTTTTTATATGGACTATTTCAACAACATCTATGTTGACCTCTTCATTTGCTAAAAGATATATTTACATTTTGTACAACAATGTCAGTCAATGGCAGGTCCTTGGTCGTATAATGAGGGGGAATTCTTCAACAATCATCTTTTCCATGCCTTTTTATGGCAAACCTGGAAACAGCTATAAAGGCATCTTTTATGTTTTTGTCAAAAGCTATTTCAAGCTATTTCATAAAATTTTCTATTGTTTACCTTAATCTTACTCGGAATTGTCTATGAACTTCTACTATATTTCTATTGGCGATGCTCTTTTTGTCCTACGAAGATTTAGCATTTGCGAGAAAATACTACTTCCGATCGATTTTACACCAAGGTAAAAAGGTTTATAGTATCATAATGAAAGTATGTTTTACACTTCATTTTTTAATGTTTGAAAGATTATATGCCGGAGAAATGTACATTTTCTAGGCGCATCAGGTATATTTTTTCTACAAAGAGAAGAATTTATGTTATGTTATCAAACTTAATTTGAAATAAATGATATATAATAAAAGGAGAATTGAAATAAAAGTTTCAATCTATAAAGCTACATTTTTCCAACAACAATATTAAAAAAATTCAAACTTGAGAAAAATTTATGCCATTTGCGTAATTTAGTCATACCGGTCCAAAAATTAAAGGAACAGCAAAATTTCGGTACACGGTTCCCTTGGTCATATATTAGTGCATAGTGATATTGTAGCTATAATGTTCAATTGTTACTATTTTTCGGAACATAAAACAGTAAAACGCTATTCATTGCTCGTTGTGTTAAGTACCGTAAATGAAGATCTTCTTTGTACCGATTTGTTCACATCGGTGTTAAATGTTCGTTTAGGTTAAGTCGTATTTTGGAGCGGCTCATGCGCAAAACAATTAATGTAGACTGATGTGGTGTATTTATTTAAACTCAATTGTTCAATTAAGAAATAATAACGGTATCATCTGTGTTTATCGGCTATTTAACACCGAATTGGAGTTTTGGTGCGGAGGAATTGACCACAAAGGCCATAGGCATGAGTGGTTATTTTTCTTTTTTGGCATTAAAACGATCCATACCTTAATCTTGTGAAATAGCAACATTAAGTGCTTTACCATAAACTTCCCCTAGGCGCGGAGGACGTTGGTTACTCTGTTACAAATTCTTATTGTTATAGACATTGCCTTTGTTAGCGAAAGAAAGACTGCTGACAAATGTAGAATAAAATGAAATCATCAGAAAGTCAAATATGAAACGTTGCTAACTCATTGTTGGACAAAAACTATCTCAAATTAAAAAATTAATGAATGTAGATAAAATCAAGAAAATACACACTGAAGATAATAAAGCGATTTACATTTCACAAATGTTTACGCAAAGTTAAAGACACGTTTATAGTGATGCTACTTTTGTTTGTTAATTCTGATATATTTTTAATTGTATATTTCGCCATCAACTATTTATTTATTTGCGTTATAAGCTTTTTTGTTAGAATATGGAATGAATGTATGTGTGGAAAGAATATTATATTACAGTAGAATCCCTACTTAAGACCACTCCGGAATTAAGACCACCCCGCTATTGAGACCATTTTTTAAATTACGGAATTTTTTGTTCTTTATGTCAATGTTTACATGATCCAGAATTAAGACCACCTCACTTATCCACTTTTAAGACCACCAGATTCAGTTCCATTTCTTTGTTTGTTCTTTATTTGACCCCACTATTGAGACCACTGATTTAAAGTCAACACCTACATAGATCTTAAATTTGTTGTTATCAGCTTGACTGCTCTAAGGCATGACATGACACCTAATTGCACAAGGTGTCAAAAACACCTTATATCAATGGGATATTGTATGAAATAAGGTGAGAAAGTAAATTTTAGAGTGGTTTAATCTTGCTTTAAGCACATTGATTATGCGAAGAACTAATTTTTTATATGATGGGTGAATTAAATACATCATATAATAATAAATATTGAAATTGATTTTGAAATCAGACAAAATAGAATTTGATATTAAATTTCTTTCTTCCAATCAGATGTTAATTTATAACATAGTTTTATGTTGTATTTGCAGGTATACATATTGTTTGTTCATACAAAATGACTAAAATAGAACATGGTCAAAAAGTGTGTAAGCATTGATAAGAATATTCACAATTAAGTCCACCCCGCAATTAAGACCACTTTGGTCCCGTCCCGATGGTGGTCTTAATTGAGGGTTTTTACTTTATATATAATAAATAACTTGTAAATAATGATTCTTCCCTGAAAATGTAAATGTTCTAAGGAACAAAATCAAAGAATAATTTCTTACTCAGTATATTATCCTATGTCCACAGTAGTCTATATTTCATTTTTCCAACGCCTTTGCGAACGTTCTCAAACATGTACACTTTAAGTTAACCAGTATCCCAAAAAGGATTTGTCACTGTCTGATCAATTTGTGCCTTTGCGCATGTCAGAAAATAGTGACATTGAATAGTATCTAATATTCATCATAATGATTATTTGGATTACTTCCAAAGGTACTCCTTTACATATTTATCTACTAAAATATCAGGTATATAAATAAATCAAATTTGAAACAAAGGAATGATTCAAAATAGTTAACTTAAAATTTTAAACTTCTTTTAATTGTGATTTGTGGATTTGGTGGAAATATAAGGACAAAGTGCATACAAAGGTACTGCATTTATTTAACTCGTAAATTTTCTTTCTATTTTAAACATCATTTAATTTTCGTTTAATTTAACATTTTTTTTTCGATAGATTTAAAAAGGCACGTATTCATAACACGCAGACTGCCGTTGGCAAACTATTTACCCATGCAGATATAGGGAATAGTTCAATATATGAAACACAGTAGAATATTCATATTTCATAACTAAATTTTGTATCATTTGTTAAACTTTTCGTTGAAAGTGTATTGTACATATTTTTCAAGCATGTAATTTCGCATATACACATGTAACCATTAAACAAATATAATGAAATAAAAAAATGTGTTCAAAAAAGACTTGATTAGGAGAGAAAGAACTCATTACCGGTGTTGCTTTATTATTACACGGGCGTAACCATGTCCACGGTTTAAACATACATGCGACTTTGATTACCAACAAAGAGCTTTGAAAATTAGTGTAAATCTTCAACATAGGACCTATTATATCGTTGAACATTTTCTTTAGAATATATGCGTTAAAACGCCAAGGTGTGTATCTTTCATTGGACATTTTGAGTTCTGGAAAAACAAGCTCAAATTGTCTGAAAGTTTTAAAAAAATGGATACTACAAATTTAAAACTTGTCATTCATTCATGCGGTACACGATGTAAATAAATATTATTGACTCTGTCATCTTTGCTATTTATATATTATTTGACGTAACTGATCTATGAATGATTGTGGTCTTTAAACTACACCCACTGTATTGTATACGTAAACAATTTTCCGGATTCCAGTTTAACATCCCCACCCCCACCCCCAACCCCCCAAAAAAAGAAATCACTACAATGATAACCCTTTTTTGCTGTTACTGCTTTCTGTCCACAAAATTCTCTTATACAAGTAAATTGTCCCATTAATGTATTAATTTGCAATTCATGGTTTTGCATAATTTTACCAGCATCATCATAAAATGTATAATGTATTTAAATAGTGAACTATCTTTGTCCAATTTTGCTAAAATATCTAATTATCACAAGACTTTTGCCCATTCAATTAGTATTAAGCTATATTACCAATTAAATACAAAAAAACTAATGCATGGTTCTTATATCATTATCAAACATAAATGCAAATTAAGTGAAAGGAAATCTGATCTCAGGGAGGTGATCTCTTGTTGAGTTGTACATCTGTAATTGGCATGTATTATCTCCTGCATTTGTATGTATGCAAACTAAGAATATGTACATAAAACTTGAAACTTGAAACCCTTCACATTTTGTATAATTGTATACAATAAAAATTTATTGAAGCATTTTTCACCCCTTTTTCCTGAATGAGATAGAAGATTTAATTTCATTGTCATGCCATTTCTTTAAGGTTGATCTCATTTTAAATTACATAATTTATTATGCACTTTTAATGAAATAAAAATTGGTGAACATAATCATTACTTAATATACCATTGTCATTTTCAAGAAAAGTCATTAAGTAATTTACCCAGCAAAAACCCCTATATAGATGTATGAATACAGTATGAAATGATAGCTGAAGTAAAAGGACAACAATCATTATATTCTACAATGTTTAGAATTTTTACTTAACTGCAGTAAATTGATTGTCTCTGTTTTTTTAAAAAAATCACTCAAAGAATATCATCATATCACCGATAGCAGCATAAGAATCATCATGCTTCTCAATAACCTCACATTTATCACTATAGTCATCATATTAACCATTATCATTCTCATCGACGCAATCCTCGTACGTCTACTCATCATCAGATACATCAGCGATACGACTATGTCAATAATTAACAAGACAATTATCATAATGAGAAACAAAAGTATGACAATCATCACCATCACCATTATCATCATCATCCTCATCATCATATTCACCACAATCAATGAATCATCATTAACAATAATTTTATTTTAACTATTACGATGACCATACTTATAATCAGGCATAACATCATGTTCATTATTATGAGGAATAACAGTTTGGTCATTATTATGAAGAATAACATCAACAGCGTGATCATAATTTCTATCATTATCATCACCATTAGTATAGTTGCCGATAATAACTACGGACCAGCTTAATATTTTTACAATAATTGAGATCCTTTTCCTCATTATGTGAATCAGCAGCAGGATGCCAATATAATCACTGCAATTGTCATGTAGGGATAGAAAATGTGCAGCGTGCCATTTACTAAAACCACGGACCCTATGAATATTGTTCTGCACCTCAACTCACTTATGTATCAGGAAGCTTTCAATTCTTTATATCATGAATTATTGTTCTCTTCTTTGACACCATGCTGCGTTTCAAATTTCCTGCAGGCACAGAGAATGATCACTGCTCATCATGACACTATCAACAGTATATATGTTCAATGTTCAACTATATACATTTTGCTAATTACCATAATCGTCATCAGTTTTAACAACTTAATTATTTTAACAATTAAGACAATCATCATCATTGTCGTGAACAGCAGCATGTTGACCAACATCAAAACCATAATCACAATCATCATTATTGCTATAAACATACTTCTGTTACAATCAATCATCAATATTATCACAATCATCAAACTTCTGCTCATTGTCACGATCGCCACAATAATCTCATTATCACAATCATCACAATCAATAAACCGCTCATGATTATCGTTTTCAACATCATCATCGTCATTGCCATAAATATACTAATGTTCATCATCAACATCATCAATATAATCAGAATCATAATAATTAACATACTAATGCTGATCATTAACTTATTAATCGCATCACAATCAAAATACTTCTTCTCATCATCAACAAAATTATCATCATTGCAGTCAACATTCTTCTGCGCATCATTTAAATATATTTTTTATAATCAATATACTTCCATTAATCATCATATATATCATCCTTATTATCAATTTATGAAATTATCGTTTCCTGAACAATGCACACTGGGGACAAGCATTTTTACCCCTCCCTCCAAACCTATTAATCAGTATCCCTTGTACAACCTTTCGACGGCACTGTTTCTGCTAATTCAACTTTCGAGTTTCAAACCTCTTCACGATTTCTCGATTGCTTTCTACGCCATTGTCAATCAGATATTGGTATTTTGTAACGAGTATTCTGATTGGTCAACAATAACGAATCCGCAACGTTTTGCACAAGGATGCTTGGTTCCTAGAAAGCAATCGAAAGACCGTGGAGAGGTTTGAAACTCAGTGATAAGCATAGCATGTATTTATAGAGCTAATATGCATTGGCGCTTTGCTAACATTAAAATGTATGTTTGATAGTTTAATATGTTTTTGTTTGTTTGTTTGTTTGTTTTTGTTTGTTTGTTTTGCATATATAAAAATGCGGTTCGTTTTTGCTAAGCTAGTGCGATTGGCCAGTTATAAATTGGTGATAAAACTATCGGTGCAATCATTATAAATGGCGCTCCGAATCACGCATACTATAAACGACAGGCATCAACGGCGCGTGCACGCGTCATTTTATTCATTTTATAAATAAATACATAAATAAATAAAAACATAGATGTTTATGACAAGAACCGTAAGTCTGGTAGCATATTTTATCCTTTCGAGATTAGGACATGGTACGATTAACCTATTTCGGCAAAAACATAGTAACGCAATGTTATTGCCCATATCATTTTAGAGATATGTTGACACGCTTGATGGTCCTCTAGTTTTTAGTAGATTGGGGTTAAGGTTTCTAGTCCATTAACAATCATTATTATAGCTTTTGAGTTTAAAATTAGCATGCGTGGGATACTCCTCCGTATTTATGCAGAAAAGGATCACTCGAGTCAATGTCGTAGTGCTAAAAGTAGATCTTTACACTTTTGCACATTTATCTCTTTCTTATAACCTGATTTACATTAAGTAAAAATGTTAAAAGTTTTTTGTTTGTTTTAATGAATCAAAAAAAAAAATTAAACGCTATAATGTCTAGATAGTCTTTAGAGGAACCTCGATTCAACAGAAATGCATTAAATTTTGTTTTAAAATATTACATACATTTGTTAAGAGTTACAGTACATATATAGACCTTTAAAATATATTAAGTAAAGGGTACACGTTTATTATTTGTTTTGAATCATTTTGAAAATCTCAACTTTCAACATGTGATGCCTGTCTATCTGTCTATCAGAAAAATATTTTGATTCACTGTAAAATTTCTTCATGTGATTTTCACCTTTTTTATTGAAAGTGATGTGAAACCATCGTTTATACAATTAAAGAATAGCAAAAGCAAAACTTTGGGAAATATTTTTTCTTATATGTATACTAAATCTTAGGTGTCATTTATAGATATTCCTGACATATTTTATAGGAATGTATTTGTTCTCGTTAGGAGTGATTTCGTCCTACGCAGGAGTTACAAAGCCCTACATAGGAGTTAAACATAGGAACCAGGACACACAGGACATCGGATACTAGTGCTTAATATACTTATACACAGGTTATCACATAAATGCGGGTGTTGAATATATAGGTAGGAAGTTAATATATATTTTAGACTTCTCTTTCAGAACTGCTAAGATCAAAACAAGAGAGTTATTTTGCAAGTCAACTACAAAGTAATTAAACACATATAACTTTCGAAGTCTGTTGCTTTCTTATGAATTCTGTTATAATGGTCAAAATAATTCAGATTAAGGTATAATTGTTTTTGATTGTTTTGAAAAAAGTACTTTACAATTTGGAACCAAACCGCTTTTAAACTGCATTATTTGCAAGAAAAAGTCAAAGCCTTATTTTCATCTTCATTGCTAATCAGGATTCCTCCGAAACTACGTGCCATAAAAATCTTTCTTGTTCACTAAAATTCATTTAAAAGGTCTAAGTGTTATATTACAATGCCTACGGTAGACTTTAATTCATATGTTGCTAAATCAGTATACCTGAAACTTATTTGATGTTGTATTCGTCAGAATAAAGGCATGAATTCAGTTTTGAAGTCGACCCTTGTCTTTCATTGATATTAATAAGGACAATAACGCATTGTTTTATATAAAGTATACCTTTGACATTTGCCAAAGTACTAGTGTCATATCATATTATTAAAAAGCTGATAAAATATGATTTAGGTACGATACATTAGATAAACAGTGTTGCGATGGTGCATCATATATAAATTCAAATAATACAAAAAGTTTTAATCACATTCATATGCTAATTCAAGTGATATATGACACTTGAAGCGAGTGGTTTGGCCAATATATCAGGTAAACAGTTAATATATATAAGTACAAATTCATCACATACTCGTGCAGTTTTTTAGACTCTGTAAAATGGTATTGCACTGTCGTGCATATATTTTACGAGACGTAATTTTGCTTTAAACAAATATTGTATAAAGAATAAAGACGCGCTTCATGTTAGAAATGTACTATAAGGGGAGGCAATATAAAATCATTTATTTACACAAAAATAGTCTTTGTTTTGAAAATGTGATATCATATTCGTGTAGAGTCATTACTGGTTGTATTGAACTTGTTGAATAAAGTAATATTATTCAACTGTTTCGGTAAATTCAATATACATTTTTCGACATGTAGATTCATTCATTATTCCTTACGAATAAACGTATAAAAGAGAGGTTTCCTTTACGTATTTTTGTAAAAGTATACATTTGATACAAACATGGTAAATACTAAAACTGTTAGCAGTCTTACGATTTTATACCCATTTTTATCGAGGAGCCGTTCTTTTAAAATATTGTGATAAACATTTTTGGATTATTTTTACTCTGATAACATTCATATTTATTAGAATGGGCACCGGTCATTCAAAGGGAACAACGCCAAAATTAACCAGAAATGATCCTAAAAGGTTCAGCTGGAAGAAAAAAAAGTTGGGTAATCAATGGAACGAAGAGCTTGGGCAAGACAAGATTACAGAACAAGAAATCATCGAAAAGAGAGAAACATGCCTTGCAGTTTTAAAAGTGAGTTCCTTAACTGTCATAGATATATTTATAAATCTACTGTATGGCAAATGTCATTTTATTTTACAGCTTGTATGATTTAAAAGGTTTATGCTAATGTCTTCTTTTTAAATGTTGTTTGTGTGCGTGATGTTGAAGACGTTGTTTTGGATAGGACTTTAGACGAATACTGTTCAATTTGCTTCATGTTTATTTAGTATTTATTTCAAAATAAACAAAGCATTTAAATACTTGATATTATTATTTTCATAATTCAATTATTAAAACTTGAGCCTCTTGTCTACTTGTATCTTACAGAAAAGTGTAACTAAGCATGATGATAAATTAAACAGTTATAATGATAAAACTTCAGAGATAAAAAGTCTTTTGGAAATATTACAAGGTAAAAATCAATGTTATTTGATTATTATTCTGACATCAAAAATCATTGCTGTGTTATTATGTACTATTTTTCTCGTAGTAGTGTATTACAAAGGTAATCAATTACAATTTAATAAAGTTCAGCGACAAATGTCTTCGCACATATCATTTTTGCAATAAAACAATGTCCAACAAAAGAAAAAAAGGAAAATTAAATAAAGTGAAACAACACAATGGTAATCATACATACTGAAAGATGAATTGTAGAGACACGTGGCATGAGTCATAGTAATATACTGCAAAATCGTTTTTCGTTGTTTTCGTGGGCAGGTCAGTCTACGAAATTCAGATACGACGAAATTATTTTTGATCCCAGCAAATACCTCTTACAATGTCCTGTTTCTGATAATTTCAATACTATACTTTACTCACATGTGTCGGTCATTTTCCGCCCGTTTATTTGTGTTATGAGGGTTTTCAGATGATAACTCCAACTGTTTAGGTTTGTATATTTAAACTTGAAAGAAATGTCGATTATTGTCTTCCGTTTGCTGTCACAAATGTCGGAAAACAAGTTACATCCGCATATTCAGGTTACTTGATTGTATTAGCCATAATACTTTAAATAATCGAGTATATATGGGACTTATTAATTTGCGCCGATAAAAAACTCTCTTGCACTTATTACCAATTTCGCTGACGTGTAAAAATATCTTAGGTTTAAACATAGGGCTGGTATTGTTATTGATACATAAGCGGGCGTAAATACGTCATGTGACATGCACAACGAACGTAAACTGACTGTAAATTGAAAGCTGTATAAATATTTTTTATAGATTTATTTTATATTATTGTCTTGATAAAAGTACATAACACAATATAAACATGACTAATTGCTGAAACAGATAAATTGTACATTGTTTATGTAGCGTTTTAACGCGTGCTTAAATGATCCAGATAAAATGAACTTGCCACCGTTAATATTTATTTAATCGACTCCTATTCCAAGAACACCAAAACGCCGCAGGTATTTAACTCGATGCATACATAACTGTACCGAGCTATATACTTGTGCTCCTGTTGTGAATTAACTGTATGCCACGGTCAATGTGGCGTCGTTCCATGTAGTTATTGTCAAATAGGTGGCAAATGTCGTATAAATTATGCGCCAGTAATGGCGATGTTTACAGGGGCATTAGATATCCAATGGAGCTGCATGTCATGCCATTGAAAGGCGCAGTTTGCAGTCAATTGTCGGCAGTAACTGTGTATCACAAATCAAGGATCAGTTAGTAAGATGCAAAATCGAGTTCGCTTTGAAGTTCAAACGGAACATGTTCCGAAAATCTAGGCGACTAGAGTTAATTGCTTATATCGTCTGTTGTATGATTACCTTGCATTAAGTGATTTATAGTTTTTATTTTTACAAAACAAAATGAAAATCATCTGCGGATTAAAAAACAATAATAACGTAACCTTGCCTGTTTTGATAAAACAATGAAATTGCATGCAAACGAAATTAATTGAATACACAGTACTTTTTAGTAAACAGTTTGAAACATTTGCTTTACAACGTTCAATGAGCCGCAAAGAATGAGGTAAACAGTATAATAGTTTGCCACTTACTTATATTATAAGTCATTTGATATCACTGAAATATTTATTTCAAAGATTTATGCACTTGTTTTTATTTAGAGCATAAAACAAAAAGTACCACTGATTACGGAAACGGAGATGTTACAGATTCAAAGAAATTCAGAGAAACAATAGAACGAATTGAAAACGTTTTGAAAGAATTTCAGGTATTGTGTCAGTTGCATTCGAGTGAACTATTATATTTAGTTCTTAAGATGCATGTTTTGTTGTTCAGATTTGTTATCAAATAGGATCGTATTCAGTAGTTAAACATGAGTGTACAGTCCCTACAAAATATAAACCGTTTATTCACAAATTTAGTCGTTTCTCTGAAATAATAAGCAACATTTGGCCGGATTTAAATATCTAATGTTATTAAATTAAATATTTTCAATGATGATGGTACGGATAATTGCATCGATGATAACATATGTACACATAACTTCTATTTGTATTATTTATGCAATTTGATAAATATTTATGCATACATTTTAGATGTTACCAGAGTGTGCAAGAGATTCATTCAAAGATGTAAAACATAATATAACGGAGTGCGTAGCAATTTTGGAAGAAAATATCAAAGTCGTAGGTGATATGAACATGAAGCCAGTGAGAAGACCACCTGCTGTCAAAAGGAGGAATACGTTTAAAAAAGAACCAAAACATAAAACTGGCGTTTCAGGTACATCATGCTACCTAAGTACTACAGTTATTACACGTTTGTTAATCCAATATGTATAGGTTATTGTTCATATATTAGAATTATATACAAATTAAGTGCAAGGGAGCGTAAGCGACCGCTGCAATTATATTGTATATAATTCTTATATGTTCGAGTCCTGGGCTGGCTAACTAAAATTAATAAAGAGTATTTGGATCTAGGTCCCGTGTATGACTATGTAAACACTTGGAAAAGTAAAGAAGCAGAAACATCGTCTTGTAATTGCACTTGTCTTTCAAAATCTAAAATGACTAAAACTACTATGGAGAACTCGTTCATATGGTTAACCATTGGTGAGTAAAAATAAACTCAAATATACACAAATTCCCTTATTCGTAGTTTTGCGTTTTTACACACGAAGTGTTTAAAACGTTAATATTCATTTACTTTTTATTATATACGAAATTTATTTTTTAAAGTGTTATATGGCAAAAAGACCCATCAAATCATGTAAGTATAGAACGGTGTTTAGAGAGAAGTTTTTACCCTGTAACCGGGCAAGTTCCCTCCGGAAACTGTCCAAAAACCCACCAGGCCACAAAGTGCGGATGGTATGATCAAAATATTTCTCTCCTATCTAAAACGGTGTTGCATTGATCCTTCTATCTCGGACAATTCCCGCTTGTAATATGACGTAGGCATTATGCCCAAGTCACAAATACCATGCGGCCGCTGGGCGGCGTAGAGTATTCCAACACTTGTTGTATATGTCGGCGTTCGTCCGGTAGCAGTAAAAAATTTGTTAATAGGGCGGGCGCCGTCGAGTTTTAACAACAACTTTTAAATTTATGGCGTCTGGAGAACAATCTTTTGCGTTTGTGAGTTTAAGAATCATTGGACGGACACTGCTTGATCGCCGGGCAGTGTCTGGATGCTGTAAAGATCGTTTAATCGGGCGCCGCCCGTTTTATTTGTGACCAACGCATAAGAAACATTGACAGATCCAGTTGAACAAAAAATTTTTATATTTTGGCACTTCGCGATTTTCATTGCACTGAACTGCCGTTATCAAAAGTATTTTGTGCTTCTAAATATATATCAGTGTATCAATTAGTGTCGTAAATCAAGACACTTCAAACTATTCAAATCAAAGCTTCTTTGTTCCAGCATACTTAGTTGAATTGTCAATTGATGTTTTATCATGAGCGAACACGTTGAAGAATGTCCTCATATGTTTTTCACAAGTATCCAAAAATGCTCTTATATTGATAACAGGTAACGCACTACATTATGTTTTGTATTATATATAATAAGGTTTACAAATAAAACTTTTTTAGCCGCAATACAGATATTCTGTAAGCAAGAAGGGAAATTAATGAACGACATACATATGGCTCTGGAAACTACATTGAAGGGCAAGTTAGGAGCTGTCGACTTCACTCACTTGAACGATATCTCCAAAATTGACAACAACATGGTGCTTATCATTACATGTATTGCTGCCACAAGGATTGCAGCAGATGCATCATATGCTATGCAAGATATCAAAAGTAATATGTTTTACTGCGATTGATTAAGTCATCAGTTCAAAAGTGACATATACATCGTAAAGTTCATGCAAAAAACACATATTATCTGAAGTATTATTTGCAGTATTTACAAAAAACAAGGGTTCTATTCATGAAGTACAAATAAAGACTCAGGGCGCCATAAATTCATGTTTCTGTTATAATATTAAGATTTGTTATTTTCATCATACATTACAAAGACATTAATTTTTGTTTCTGCCTAAAAATCAATAAATTTTCTTCATTTCTTTCTGTATGTATGATATATACTTTTATAACATATCTCATTAACTGTTTTTTTGTCTTTCTTTAACAAAAGCATTACATTTTATTTCAGATCCAGCCAATGCTGCCCTCGTAATAATAGACGTCGATGAGGCACATGAATTGTCAAACACACACAATTTGACAGGAAACGCTTTCAAGGATCTGCGTGCAATTTTTGGATTGTCCTTTATGAAAAGTAACGGCAGCTTCCCCAACTGTGACATGAATGACAAAAGTATCAATGGACTGTGCTCGTTATGCAAGCAAGAGCTTGAGCGATATGATCAAAATTGACGACAACATGATGCTTATCATTACATGTATTGCTACCACAAGGATTGCAGAAGATGCATCATATGCTATGCAAGATATAAAAAATATTATTATACAGTGAAAAACTTTAACAAAAAGAGAAATGGGAACTATTAGGATTCGTATATAAAACATTTGATTTGCGTTGAAAACTATTTCAATAACATGCATATTTTGTCCACGCATGAACATTCGTTAACATTTTCTTAGACAACTTGATGGATGGAGTAGCATATATCATAAAATTAATTAATAATAAAGTTAATGAAGTAAAGGAAGATACTGTCTTCACTGAACTACTTAGATATAACTTTATCCTTTAATTGTAGAAACTGTTCTGAATAGGCTCAAAATCTGCATGTTTTATCATGCAAACGTTTCTCATTATAAGGACCATTATCTTTTTATTAACTCCAAGCTATCGATTTTTTTAAGCATTATTGCATAACTTGTTTACATGTATAAAATACATTATATGACACACTGGGGAAGGGCCAATTTTGACCCTAAAGCTATAATTTGAATAACCGAAAAGAAGTCCCCTAGACAATGTTTCATGCTAAACATCTAAACTGTAGACTGATAAAGGCCTTTCAATGTTTTACTTTATACATATGTTGTAAAATTGGATTCCAACTTGAACAGGTGATGTAATTTTTAGAATGTACATATAATCGGATATTCTTATATAATCTATAAATAGTACAATGTATGAGTGATGGCATGGCCGAGTGGTAAATGCGTCCGAAGAGTATCAAATGATCGCTGGCCTCATGGGCTCAAATCCTGTCCGGGAAAGTCATTGTTTCCTTGTGCAAGTAAAAATAACACTCATTGTTCAGTACTGGATTGTTCCAGGAACGGTTTCGAAAGTTTGTCTATTAGCTTATACACTGTTTAGTCCGAGAAAAATAAACAGAACTTTCCTCATTTGTAAAAATAGAAGCACAGTCAATTAAAAGATAAAGTCAGGTAAACATAGGGAAGTTGCAATTGATTAACGAAATAATTACATATACAGTTAAACAAATTATATTTTATGACATGTTATCTTCGTTTGACACTATAGCACTGTATGTAATACTGCTGATCAATATGAAAGTGAATTAAAGTAGCGGGCTCGAAACCTGATGTAAACTGTTTCATTTCTTATTCAAATGTTTTTTTAATTACTTACTGTTTGAGAAAGTAAATATATGATAACGCACATGAACATAAAGACATAGCATTTGACCTCTTAAAATTTGTCAAAATATTCATACTGTTATAATAAGAAATTTAAAAAATTATATTATAGTGGAATAAATGAGATGAAACTACTTCGACTTTTAAAACAACATAAATATATCATCATCATCAACAACAACAACAACAACAACAAAAACCACACATTATCATTATCAAAAACCTTTTGAGTATGTACCTTACTGATTGAGCTAATGCGAAATTTATTATATGTGATTACTTTTACAGCTTTAAGTAAAACATACAACCGTTTAGATGTGCAACATTGAATTTACCTATATAGTATTAAGAAGGACTTTTCCGTTCTATAAATAAAATAAAATATAAAGAAACCTCGGATTATATCGACGAACCAGTCACGTGACTTCAGTGGGTAAACACTCACAAGGCTGCTGTGGTAAATATTGCAATAATTTTATTTACTATTACGGAAAATGCATGAATAAACAACATGGCTGCATTAGTCACCGATATACCCAAGTTACACATTCCTAAAATGCTATCTCTAACTTTTAATTACCCTTTAATAATTTTCATTGCGTTAATTATTACTAAAAATCTAATCTACAGTTCGCAAGAGTTTGTGTGCCAATGAAATCGCTCTATTTTGTTTAGATTTTGTCGAAATATTTACCATACAGTGCTGTAACTGTATTGTGTTAAATGCATACGTTAAATATGCCGATGTAATGGACTCAGCCTGTTGAATAATGCACTCGACTTTAAAGCGCGGTCGATTTTAGATTATATACAAAGTATTAAGAAACTAATTTTCTCGCTTCACTTCGTTCTCTCGAAAATTAATCATATGTTTTCATTTAAAAGAAAACACAAGAAAAATCTATATCTTGATGAATATAATTATTAGAATAAGTTATTTTAGTTCAGAAAACTTCTTAAAACTCTGTATATAACCTATAACCTATACTTAAACTAACGTTATGTCTTAATATATCAAATGTTAAAAACAAAAAGGAAAAATGTTGTTGTTTTTTTAAAATTACATTGATGAATTAAAATTATATATTAGGATAAAGGAGAAAAGGTTATATTCATATTTGCTTTATACAAATGTACTTGTAAATCTTAAATTTTAATTTTCTAAGTATATCCTCTGTGAATAATATACTTTTGATGCCAAGCAACCTACTTTTCAGATACTTCAGCAAAGTGTTGTTTTTATTTTCAATTCTCAACACAATCAATATTTTATAGACGAACAATTCTGAGATACTGCAAACGTTTTGCTGCCTATCTCAATTATTTATGTTTTTTCTGAACTGTTTTTGACTGCTTGACTGCAATATTCTATTTTTACAAATATGAATGCTGGCGCTCCTTTAACTTTCTGGTACTTTTCCGCAGTTTTTAATCATTTTAAGATGACCGTTGTGATAATTCAGCAATAAAGCAGAAATTGATAATAATCAAACACCGCCACTTTTATTGTGCTTATGTGAGAACGATATGAACTGAAAGAAAATCTGTGTACATATATGCCTTGCAGTTTTCTTGAAACATCATATCATATAGCTTTAGACAAACGGCAAATGTTAACAACATAACATTAGGAAGATTTTTAACATCATCGATCACTTACACTTATTAAACATAGTGTGTTAGGTTTTGTAAGATGACGATTTTGGCTTTGGTTGCATACGCGCTATTCAGAACTGCAATCATGACAATAATTAGTCCATTAAATTTGTGATTTATCCTCAAAGAAATATATACTTATCTTTATATAAATGAAACTTATCTTGAATTTATAAGATTCTGAAATACCTCGACATTAAAATCACGTTCAAAGTTTATAGTCAGTGAAACATTTGAAAGAGTCTGTTCTCTAAAACATTTACCAATTTAATCAAAACCAGATTTATGTAAAACAATATATTACACAAAATAATACTATTACATGTATATACGATATCATTATTATATCGTGAAATAAATAATAAAATATGCCTTTAACGTATTACTTTTTTAAATTTAAATTTTATCAAAAAATATTCTAAAGCTCCTATTTAATTGTGTAAAACTGTGAATAAGAAGCTTTAAAAAAACTATTTAAAGTAATAAACTGAGGGCAACTGAAATTAAGATATATCAGGCATTTTTTTGGTGTCTTCATCTTTAGTCCATTTTCTATGTAATAGAAAGAGCATTTAAACAGGAGTCTATCTGATTTGTACGAGGGGGCGTAGCTCCTGAGTATTTATCAGATTGCCGAACGTTTTGATGTTCTTTCTCTATTTTACCATAGTCAATTATAAAAACACGTTCCCTGTTGTGACAATATGAAACCCCGGGAAAAAGTAACCAATGAACGAGCATCTGAATATGATATTTCTGTCGCTTTCACTTTCTCTTCTGTCACAATAAGTAAACCCCAGAAAAATGAGCCAATCAATGTGCATGCTCTGGAGTGCGGGTAACTAATACCTGCATTCCAGTGAACGCACTGTGCATGTATATGCATACGATTTAACTGTGACACATTTTCAAAAGAAAGGTCCCCAAACTATGATACAATGTTTGTTGTTTGTTTTGCTATTCCTTTTATAGTTTGTATGTTTCGTGTGAATATTGATTACCCATTTTCAGGCAGTGAAACATGTTCGTTGAACAATATCTTATAATACAAATCGGATGCACTATAGATTCCAAAAAAATGTTTGAATTCACTTTGAAATCTTTCGATATACTTTATTATATATGTTTTAAAAAGTTAATGCCATTCCTACTAATGGTACTTACCTAGTTACAGCTAATTCTTACATTCCAAAAGTTCTTTTGATTTTCCATAGTTTAACAAAAAGAAAGAAAGAAAGAAAAACACCTAATTACAATTGCGTTTTAGATGCTGCATCGAATTTAACCATTTTTTCCCCATAGTTTAAAAGGTGATTCTTGAAAAAATACACAAGACAGGATTGATAAAACGTCCGTTTATTCAGGTTTTAAACGTACAATCATACAAATATGAATGATCTAAAAAAGGAAAAAAACAAATAAAGTGTTTCAAACAAAATTGCTGGATCGCTGCTGATAAAATGCAGGGCTCCTAAAAGCTTCAATGATATTTTAGTAAATTTTGACCAGAATCAAAAAGTATAACAATTTAGTAATCAACATTTCGAATTTGATATACAGTTTGCCTATAGAAATTACTATTTCTATAATTACTAGAAATTCACTATATAGAAATTTGATACTTTTATGGATTTTTATAAACACAATCTGAATGATATAAGTTATAACAATGGATTAGTTAATGATTTTAAAACAAAATTCTTTACCAAACAGTTCTTTTTGAAAATCTATAACAAAATATTTGCAACTACTCTGTATATGGGTGAAAATAAGTAAAACTACAAAAGACATCCTCTGTTTCCAATACTCCTCACCCCACTCCCCGATTAAAGCAATACATTTCTGTTTTGATTATACCTCCCTATAAATAAATAGTTATATTAAATTGTTTGCAATGATAATTAGAAACAGATTATCAATAATTAATAACTGATAAATACTCGTAATAGTACGGTTATTACTAGACGGAATATAGCAACCTTGCCGATGAAACCTATTGTGTATTTACTATATTCCACAGCCTTTTTAAAGTTTTTTTTAAAAAACTCCTTTTGAATCGAATTTGGCAATGCATTCCAATACGTGCTTGCACTAAAGAAAATTAGAAATTTCCTTCAACTAGGCATTTGAAAATTGACCGAGAAATAAAATGCAGTATATTTCAAGAAAGATTCTTCATTCAAATTATTTTACCGTAGATTTTTTTAAAGATGCGTACCTGCATCTACGAAATTAAATTTTTATGGTGGTTTTATGGTGGAGTTTCTGGCATACTAAGATGCCTGGAGTTGACATTTATTTTAAAACGAAGATTAGAACAATTAATTAATGGTACATATAAATAGTTTATCGTATAATATAAAATGAAACAAAAACCAAAAAGGTAGGCAATATTCATTTACACAATAATTATACTTGTACATGAATGTTGATTTTGTACTGACAACATACTACACAACTTTTGCTTATTACCAAATATTTCAGTGACATGATTTGTTAACTGTCGCACAAAAACACATAAGTTAGTGGCAGTGCGGTGCGAAAAGTTGGGATTTTATTTAATACGGCTGTGAAACGATATATTTATTGCTAAAGACATTCATAAACGTGCTGTTGTTCGCGCCACCGCCAAATTAATACTTCAAAAGCTCGCCATTTCACTTCGCCCCACCTCTGTTTTAGTAGTTAAAATCTCGACTGTTCGCCCCGCCAGAGACCTCCTGATATTTTTTTATCAAAGTTTGAAAACTATATGATTTACTTACTATACTTTTCATAATATAGGGACAAACTGTTTGTGTTTAACAGAAGTTGAGTAGTATATGTAGAAGACTTTCATGATGATTTTAAAGTCTCCACCATTTACCACCATATTTAAACTTGCATTAACCCATATATCTATTTCTTATTTAAAATCATCAAAGTTTACTGCTTTATTTTTAACATTCAAATAACAAAGTGTTCTTTCAACCCTGCCTACCAAAGAATGTCTTATATTAAAGTATAATAATTTTTTATAATTGAGCGTTAAACTACCTTATCAATCAATGATGAAAGAAAAACTTAAACATAAGATAGTAGGCGATTGTCCTGCTTAACTGTTAAGAAACAAAATAAACTGAAAAGGCTTGCTTATTTGTTTTTATATATCACATTTATTTAAAAAAAACGCTCCACTTTGACCAAAACGCCTAAAACTAAAACAATAAAATAAAAATGGAAACATAAAAGTAATAACTTCAAAAGCAACATAGTACACAGCTTAATGATAATGATAACATGCTTAATACTACAGTAACTGATATAAAGTGGTTCTAAAACACTGATGGAATGGCAATAACATACAATATAGCATGCCTTAAAACAACAAAAGTACTTTCAATATGATTGGAACTGATTAACAAAACAAATAAACACTTTATGACGTCTCTAATTTGTTTCGGCATGATGGTACAAGCTAAGGTCTCGAAACATTTAATATTGTTATCAGCTGCCTAAACAATGCACATAACATACTATTATAAAAAATATCCTAGTTTTCAAATACCTAATCTGGATCAAAAAATGTAGGCGATAAAATGTGTACTATGAAAAAGCAAATAAACACTTAATTTGATGAAGATACTCAAACATTCATGGATATGCTTTTGGACTGATCGAATAAAATTCCTTTTAAAATATGTTTAATGTTACATTGATGAAAATAATGTTATAATTTGCAAAGAGATTGGAATATTATGAAATATTATAATTGTCTTAGGCACTTTGTATCATTAAATACATTCATGTGTATATATAAACTTAATTAAGTACTTTTGTGCAGTCTTTCTTTCTGTTGTAACACCAACAATTTTCATTCCTTTTCTTGTCCCTCAGCACTTTCCATATGTGTCTTTCCAAGGTCAAGGATTTCAAAGAAAGCCGCTGAAAAATATCAAACCGTTCATGTGTATGACGTACAGACAAGTTTTTTTTGCGTTTTTTATATGCATTAAGCATTACATTTTCCCTTTCATTTGCCATTTATTATTCAAGTATTTTATTTCAAGTTCAAGAAAGATATCTAAACGAATACTGTTCTGACAATACAATGCCTTTTTCGTTGTTCAGTTGCTTTACAAGCTTTACTTGAGCCCCAATAAAGCCATATTTGTAAAAGAGAACCAACATTTTACATCGATTTAATTAGTGGTCTGCTATACATTTCTTTTGTTACATCAATTTTTAATTCATTAAAAAACAACCAAAGAAGAAGGCGGTCATTTTTAAATAAGTGTTCAAGACATACCCATTATTTCTCAAATAAATCTTGCACTGGGTAACACGACAAAATGTCCAGACAGGTAACCTTCATATCAAATAGTTTATGCCGATACATTTATACTTAATTTAGATTTCAGATGCTGGTAATTCTTTCTGTAATATAGTAAAGTGAACTTGAGTTTCGTAGACCAACATATTGTCAGAGAACTACCAGTTACATACATAAGTAAAGTTGTGAATCTTGTATTTCAACTGTTTACTCGCAAGGAAAAGTAGTATAAAATGGCACAAACTAAGTTGTAGTACACCACCTGTTTAGGCCTTTCTATATTGGTTCAGACAGAAGAAAATTTGTAAGATGTTTAATACGGCATTACATTAAACGATTTAATTATTCATGTTTTTAAAGCTCTGTGTGACAAAAATAAAAAACGTCCAGTCATGACAAATTGGAACGGTATATTATTGGTTATTCGTAGTGAGTAAGATGGATATGTGTTTGTTAAATATGGAATAATGAGTTCAAATCTTGTGAGCACAGATATTGGTGTGACCCATATATAAACAAGAGCTAAAATCATTTAAAAATTTATTCTGACCTATTTAAAAAAATTTGGACTGAAGTACTTAACAATATTATCTATATTTAAGCTGTGTACTGGAGTATTAACAAGGTAATTCTATATTGGGGATGTGGGATCGTATATTTGTCCCAATGTTATTAATATTTAAACTTGAGCTAGATATCATTTTAATATATATTTTGACCAAATTCAAGGAAAATTGGACATAAACAGTAGCCTTTAGAAAATAAAACGATCTTTTTTTCCACATTTGTGATGTGTGACCTAGTGTTTGACCCTAATTACCGATATTCGAGCGAAAGCAAGATATCATCTTAAACCTTTCTGAAAAATTTCCAGGATATTAATTCTAAAGTGTTCAGCGGATTGTTCCACATCTGGGTTATAGGATTCAGTGTGAATTGAGTACCGCTCAAACCGGTGCTAGGTCATGTGAGGAATGTTGCACTTTTTCATTTTTCCACCTGTACAGACTTAATCAAACTGAATCTGCAGTTTTCATGTAACTTTTTCTGTGTTTAATATTTCCGAGGACAGCTTTTTCCAAATATTCAAATAGCAGGTCAACGTTTATATCAGACAAAAAATAGTCAAAACAACCTCTCTGGCAAATGTTTAGGATATTGCCCTGAAACCATTCTTTTTTAATGTAAAACATGGTTTTCCGAAAATTTGCGTTATGTGACCTGATTCATGAATTGAGATGATCAATATTCAAACTTTAGCTTGAAATCATTATAAAAAAAACAACAACAGATAAAAAAACAAACAAACTTCTACATCTTTTCAGGTTTTCATGTTTGGATCAGAATAACATTCCTGACCATTTTTTCAGGATATGATATTTAGACCGAAATAATAGCCACTAGTGGGTTCACATGATTTTATATTTTAGCTCCTGTGATCCGGAATTGACCCATGTTCTAAAACCTCAGAATAATTCCTACGAAAAAGTTGCCAATTGTGTCAGGCAATTATTTGACAACTACAGTGTTACAGAGCTAAAATTTAATGTAGATGATCGACAGACTACGACATTCTACGATCCTAAAAGCTCATCTTTAGCCATTTAAAGTGTGCTAAAAAGACGTACATACCTAAAATGAGTCTATCAGTTTGTTTATCTACATCATTTTGATCATCGTAATTAACTATAGGATATATCTGTTGTTGTCTAAACCCGAACTCAGCCTTGAGTCTTTCCTTGCATTCCCTCACATTTCCGTCTTCAAAAATCCTCCTTCTGCTAGTTTTCAAGGAATTGCTGACTTTGTCGCATTTTGTTAGGAGCACAATATGCGGACAAGCTGTAATTTATTTTTAGGTTTGATATAATTCATGACTTTTATTCAATTATATATATAAAAAAACGGTTCTTTTCCCTTAATTTAATATTTGTGATGCATTGGAAAAAGTGTAAGATATTCTTATTTTTTTAAATATGACAAGAATAATATGTCATACACATCAGACCTTAACACATACCAACTACTTCCATTTGTATATTACAAATGTTATAGTTTGGTTGATCAATCATGGGATTTTCCTCTATTGAAGCAAATCATGCTCTGATAATATTATTTCAGTTAAATTATGAAACAATCCAACGATAAATTGAATGCAATAAATCATCTACCAGACTGAGTAAAAACTGCTAGATGCATTGCAGACATAAGACCGGGTGAGGAAACAGTGTTCCTTTTCACAAACAAAGCTTGATATTCATAACTTTTTTGTCCATTGGAAAACACATTTATTCTGCAGCATTTACAATTTTGTCGTTTTGCACGTTCTTTGTGAATTCTTTATTTCTCTCTATTTCTATATATCCAATGAACAAACGATTCTTTGCGGAAAGAAAAAATCTTATGTTGGCTTATGATACAAAATGAGTTATCAAATTTATTGTAAGGCCCATGGCCTGAACTGAACATTTGCAGAGAAAACTTTTCATAAGACATCATTCCACCCCTATTATCGCTCCATTTCTTATTTTGGCGGACTAAATAACATATTTACATTACAGATGGACGGTCAGAAGACAATTTAAGATGATGGTCATTGGTCCCAAAGCTCTCTCATGTGGGCGGACTGTAATTTGCATAAAAGCAGTGAGAGTTAGTGTTAATTACAAGAATTTGAATGATGTTGGACACTAAACCATACATACCTCATCCTAATTATATAAATATACTTTATAATTATCTACCCTTTTTATATGGTCCTTTTTGTTTCATAGGTGTACATCTAGACAAGAAAAAAGGTCAGAAGGTATTTGTTTGATATCCGATTTCAGTTCTACACCTGAAACTATGCACATGGTCAAATGTCTTTGCTGTAAGCCATAGTAGGACGTCACTTCATCAGAATCTAGGTAAGCTGATAATGGTGTTTAACTTTATGTCATATTTTTTGTGTGTCTTCTTGGATAAGGCCAATGTTGACCCAAAGAGGTTTTGATAAAAACAATCTTAATACAGGTCTACCTGACAGCATTTCATGTCAAATATCTTAGCTCTAGTATTTTAATTTTTAGATTTTGTTATATGTATATAAGGAATACTTACGACACCAAGGGCGGGGCTTATTTTTAACCCTTGGCCAGTAATTTTAAATACAGTCATTGTTAATGGAAAATATCAAAATTATAGTCTTTGAAGCTTGATATAAAGGATATTTGTTTGTTTTGCATGTAAGATTGAAATATAATTTCACTGAGTGAACACCAGATGTAATATTTTAAATAAAATATAATAGCTGGTGTTCACGAATGAAATATATTTCAATCTTATATGTAAAACAAATAAATTTTCTTTTTATTTCATGCTTTTAAAGTGATTTTTAGTATTTTTACTGATTATGCCGCGTAACGTCGCGCATTCACCTTTGTGACGTCATCACATTATGACGTCACATCATCAATTTAGAAATATAGTTCTGTTAAATTTCTCCAATTTTGTTACATTTTAACATGATGTATGGTGACATCGATTTTCTTTTCCTAAAGAAGCAAATTTTGCGCATGACGGCATTTATTTCTGCCTGTTAGGTATGATTTTCTTTTCATCCGCATTCAGATGCAGTCCGGCTACAGTGAAAATTATATTTTATAAATTTCACTTGTGGTTTATCAGAATATAATTATCTGATATATTACAATAAAACATTGGACGGCATGAAATAAAAGATAATTTTCTTATTAAGATTTTACTATGCTTGTTATCAATGTACATGCCCCGGGCAGGGGCAATAGTGACCACAGAGCCATAATTTGAAGAAATTTAGTAGCGGTCAACTGCTTAATGTTAATGCCAATATCTTACGACTTGCCTTTGTCACTTAAAGTCTTGACAACAGAGCTTTTAGTGGAACAAACCTGGTACTGGTCTACTGTACAATGTTTCATGTATCTAATCTTTAGTCTTTTTGTCATGTTATAGAGCAGATTTGTTTTTTGACACTAGAGAAATTTTTAGAGGTCCATAAGGCAAAGTTTCATGCAACATATCGAAACTTAGGTTTTTGTCTTTGCAGAAAAGAATATTTTTTTTATTTTTTACTTTATTTATGTAAGAGAAGGTCTATGACAAAGGGGGAAGGGTCAGTTTTGATCCGAGGGCTATCATTTGAACAATCTTGTTAAACATGTACTACAAAGTGTTCCATGCCAAATATCCAAACTCTAAACTTTGTCATTCCAGAAAAAAAGATTTTTTAGTTGCTACAATATATAAGAGAGGATAACCTTTGACCTGAGGGTAAGGGCAAATTGTGACACTAAAGGCAACTTTAGAAAAAACTTTGATAGAAGTTAACTACATGATGTTTTATGCCAAATATCTTAGCTCTTGGTTTATACAGAATTTATTTTAGTTCGATCGTGTAGGAAACTATAAGCTTATAGATGCACTTTCGAATCCGTTCCTGGAATCAACCAATACTGAGTATTGTACGTACATATACTTGCTCAAGGAAAAAACGGCTTGCCCTTGACGGGGTATGAACCCATGCGGCTAGCGATCATTAGATTACTAGTCCGACGCGTTAACCACTCGGCCAAGCGCTTGTCTTCTATTTCAGAGAAGAAGATTTTGTTTTTGTATTTTTACTATATGCATATTAATTTAGTTAAATCTTGGACCTCGGAGCCAGGGCAATTTGAACGCCATGTCTATAATTTAAATATATACCTGATACAAGTCAATTGCAGAATTTTTCATGCTAACTATCTAAGCTCTAGCTTAGGAGTAGATTTGTAAACCTCTTTATAACATACATATAATTTAGGAAAAAATATGACTCGGAAACATGGCCAGCTTTGACCCAAGGGCTTTAACTTGAAAATACCTGGCACAGGTCCATATACATTGCTTCCTACTACATATCTAACCTCTAGCCTTTGCAATTTGACACACAAATATGTTATTAAGTTTTACTATATACATATTAGAAAAAAGTATGAATCGGTGGGGCCAATTTTGACAATAGAAGCATAATTTGAATACCATTGATACAATACCTATGGATAATATTGTATACCAAATTTCAAACCTCTAGGTCTTGTTCTTTCAGACAGGAAGATTTTTAAAATCTTTTTACATATATACATAAAGAAAAACAAATAAATGATTCCCTGGTACATGGGCACTTTTGAATTCAGGGCTCTAATGGTAGAAGTCTACAAAGCAATGTTTCTTACCAAATATCTTACCTCTAGCCATGTCATTTCAGAGGTTTTGTTTTGACGTTTTACTATATACATATAAGGAAAAAACTATGAACCCCGGGAAAGAATCAAATTTGATATCAGAGACAGAAGATGAACAATTTTGGTGGAGGACCTATAGATTATATTATATACCAAATATCAGAGCTCTGTGTCTCTTACTTTCTGAAAATATTTAAATTTGCATTTAAACACTATTTTCTGGCCCTGGAAATACTTATGCATAAAATAGGAACCATTTAAAAAAACTTGAAAGGGGACCATCAATGAAATATTCCTTCAAAGTCAATGTGCAGTAAAAAAAAATTGAAGACGACGCATGACGACGCGTGGTGGACGGGTAGGATCACAAAAGTTCACTATGAGCACGTCTTATTTTTCCGAACTCGTTTTAACAGGCCATTTTCAAACTTGAATTATCATTTGATAATTCCAGTTTGAACTGTTCTGTATTCAATAGATTACAATGCGTTTATGTTGTATTCAAATAAGATTCCTTTTTCTATTTCAATTTTAAGTCTAGATACTAAGAAGTTATTATCGGTTTGTAATACAAAGCAAAGATAATTACCCTTTTCAAAAATTATCGTACGCAACTTAATCATTGATCTTTTAATATTTTCTGGGAGGCCTTTTTGTACTTTCTCACAGTCGAAAACAAAACATACGCAGTGCATTTTGTCACCTGGTGATTGGTCCCTCTGAATGTCTTCTTGTGTATCTTGAATTGCATTAATTATCTTAAACAGAAAAATAAAACAATATCGCATGCCGACCAAAATACCTACCGGATATCAGCGCAACGGCGACTGTGTGGTGTAACTCTTTGTAAACATTCGATTCTTTACACAACATTTTGTAAGTTTAAGGATAAATTTCATATAATAATGACTCTAAAAGTAATAATCAAAATCTCTCAAGCAGATTTCCATAGTTCGAAAAGAAAAAAAGAAATCATGTATTATTGCAAGTAAACATCATCTGAAGATTTTTGGCGCTTCAAAATGGTATACACTGCTCAGATTGAACATGTTTAATCAAGATCAAACTTACAGCTTATACAACTTAACGCTTAGAAATGAAAGATATTTGGAGAGTAAATTAAACAAAAGCAGTTAGTGAAAATACACTTATTTTCAATATGTAAGTTATAAAAAGGAAGTAAAAAATGCAGAAAAAAACAACATAACAACGTTTTCCAACAATACAATGGCTATATTATTCATTTTACATGCTTAAGTTAAGATTAATATATATTATTACACCTTTTTATGTAAAAGTTAACTACAGGAAATTTCGTAGTTTATTGATTCAGAATTTGATAATGTGATGTTTCATGTTGCAATTATCTATTTGAGTTAATAACTTATTACTAACTTTATAGCCGTCGGCAACATTTCCACTAATAATAGAATTGATATGATCTTCTTTGATGCCATCTTGTTCTTGAAACCCAGGTGTATCACCTAGACGTATACCGCTCCTCCGTTTTGCGCCTGTATCTCTGTCGACATAATCAACGGGGTAAAGCTTGAACTAAATAAAGGTTTCATGATAAGGTTATTGAGTGGTTAATATGTGTTATTTAGAGGTAAATACAAGGCAGCAATAGGAGTAGAAATTAATCACCATGTTGTTAATAGTATCAAGTCTACAAGGTTCGTGGACAATTGTGTATGAAGGCTTGATATATGATGAGTCAAATTCCTGGCAAAGAACATTATATTTTTTCGACATTTTAACAATAAACAATCTTAATATGATTAAAGTCTTAGTTTAGCCTCCACCAGTTTTAAATATCTCCAGCATGGTCATGAACTAGTAAACAATGAATCGACGCCAATGACATCAACGTTAATAACTACAGTGAGACGCTTATCATAGCAATATATATAATTATATAGCATTAAGATTTTTAAACACATATGTAAACGAGACAATAAACAGCATTAAGATTTTTAAACACATATGTGAACGAAACAATAAAAGTGATATTATTGGCGTCGATTCATTGTTTACTTGTTTATAACCATCCTGATGATAAATGAAATTGGTAGAGGTTATTACTTTTTGATAAAAAAATACTTGGCATTAACATATTTCTTTGGATATACTATTTATAATATAAATTGTCAGCCTTTCATTCGTGATATAGGAAATCGCTTTTGTCAATTTGACTATCAGTATCTTCTCAAATGTGTTTTACAGTTATAATCATAATTTGATGTGTTCCCATAAACGTGCGCCGAATTACTCAGTATGTCCATACTCATCTATTCGGGAAAGCTCTTCTTTCTCAAGCTGTAAACGAGGACATATATCTAGCAATCCATAAATATACAATGGAAAGTGGGAGATGTTTTTGATCATTAATTATCGCATTGTGGAATCTACGATATAATTTTATATTCAAGTAAGTTATTCCCTGTCTTTGTGATCAAAAAGTAATATAATATTTGTTTCCGAAACTCTTTTTCTCCTCGAATGTTACATTGCACTAAAAGAAATTTCAAGTATCTTAAGTCAAGCTTTTAGATTTGTTCTCATGAAATTGTTCATCATTCAAAAGCCTTGTTGCATTATAGAATGAAAGAACAATGATCAATAAGAATTTGTATATGTTAATGAATTTTTAGATTACTGTATTCCTAGAAAGCAGAAAAAATATTTCGCATTTTTCATGAGGATTGCGTTTTCGCCGAAACGAACGTTCGCAAAAACAAAGTGACTGCGATATTCGCGGGTATTAAGTCGCTAGGGAAGAAAACAATCTTTATTTAAGATATAAGACACCATTCTGTCTTAATTCTCTGCGACCAGAAAAATGAAAGTCCATCTATTTTGCATTTAAAATCATAATGTCGGATCAAAAATAAGAGTGATTTAAGATTGATCTTACTATCTGAAACAATTCATTGTTTGAATGAAAGAAATTCTAACCGTTATAAATAAACAACAACAACAAAAACAACAACAACATGCATTTAGCAATTAAGCATTACAATGCTTTTAGCCATATAATACAATTGACATGAGGTAAAAAATGACACGAGCGAGAAAAATAAACTGTAAATGCTTATCCATAAAGAAATGTTTGCACTTGTAACAAACAATAACACCTTCCCTTTTAAGTAAAATTACCGTCATTTAAAGTATTCAAACTGTATATAACATGTTTTATATGATTTTATATTATCAGTATAACATTGATATTTCAAACAGCAAGACCGTTTAGCAAAGGGAAGTTTTGAATTGTGTATTAAATAAGCCTAGGGAAAGTTATGTATATCTTAGAACTTCATAATAGCATAATGATGATATAAGATGTTGAAGCTACAAATGTTCGCGGTTTAGTTACCTGCAACTTTTTTGCGGATACAAACAATTGCGGAAAAGTATCCTCCGCGAAGCGCTAACTTAAAAGAGCGACATAATTTCTAGGAATACAGCATCTGGTATTACATAAATGTTTCATAAACTAACACAATTTATATACTCATATTTTCATACCATATATACTACCACCCTAACTTTGTTGTATTCTGATTATATAATTTAAGCACGAATATGTTTAAGCTAAGTACAACATTCAAGAAAAACTCCATATGTATAATAAGTTATGATACCTTTTCTGTTGTAGATAAAATATGATCGGTCATTGCCCTCGGATTCATAATGCTGGCATCCCAAGCAATTTTACCACAAAGCGCAGAATGAACCGAATCGATAAAACTCGATTTACCACTATCAACAGGACCAACTAACAGGATCCGTAGGTTCATATCATCAAAGGGTGTCAATTTCTCACTCACAAGATTTCTTTTTTCAGCATCATCAGTCTGAAAAAGATAATTGTTGTTCTTATAGCAAGATAACCAAAGAGCATACTAACTTAACAACTTATATGGATCTTTATAATATCAAAAGGATAAATACCACATTAGATTGAATCAAGTTTTATAGGCAAACCATAAAAATTCCGTTACCAACAGAGTATTAAGATATATGTTAACATTTACTCAGGACGAGTGAAAAGTACATTTTCTATTTATCTATCTATTTAAATATTTATTCATTGCATCTGATGAAATAATGAAAACCTTATAATATCAGCATAATTAAAAGCTAAACAGTGGGCGGGCAGTAACGAAAAATAAGGCAAAGTTACACGAAAAAGCATAAGTTCTAGGCTTATCTTTGTAAAACCTAATAAGCAATATGCTTGCTTAAATATTTTTTTTCTGAACAACATCTAGTGTTAAGAATTTCTATGCCATCTATTTGTATGTCTATGTGTTTTTGTTGCGTTATATTCGATGTCCGTAATTTATCATAATATCAAAATTCAGCATCAATGATCGTCAAATTACATTACAGTATCTTATCAATCAATTCCAAAGATTTACTATGATAAATATATGTATACGTTCTTTGTCAATCTCAATATAATGTCAATTCTATTATTGAAAAGAAAACATGTTATATACCCAGTCAGGCAACACATCTTCACGAGCTTTCCAATTGTCAGGGATTATTTTCCTATCTGAAATATACAAAGTTTTTGTTACTTAATGAGATACATATAACAATCTTCTGAAACAAATAAAACAATAACAATTGTATTTTATTTTTTAGCGATTTTTCATTATGTAAGTTGCTCTTTTTCCGTGTTATACAATGTGTAGCCATATCGGAATCCTCTTTTGCACATGCACGGGTTATCTGCTGCTGAAAACAAGTCGGTATTGTAAGAAATCAATCAAATGAATGTTCATTTTACAAATGAAGAAAGGTATGGCATGTACAAAATAAGTATAATTATTGTATACAAGACCGATTAAGTCTTTTGTGTTTGGTATGTATCTAGTGATTGTTATTAACAGCCATCGCCACCAGGATTTTTTTCAGAGTTCATTATCATTTATGAGTGTCCTAAACATCATTAGAAATGCATAAATATAATTTCACTTGATCAAGACTATTTGTCTACCTGTCCAAATGTTTCTTAAAGTCTTTAATTCATATGCCGTCCAGGTGGAAAATGATAATTCTAATTTCCTGCATTATATATATTCCGATCTTGTTTTTGTCCTGATACTTTATCCTCATATGCTCGTATGTTAATGTTGTTTATTTTTTCGGTTAAAATAGCATTGTGTTAAGCATTTCTATTTTCGGACAATCCGACTAGATTTTCTTTCTTTTTTTTACTTTAAAAAAATCCAGTTGGGGTAAAGATCAATTGGATCTAAGTAACTAAAAGATAATTTGTAAACAGAGAGGGTATCCATTTTATATATTCCATTATCACGGAGTATGTATATATACAAACTGAAAACCATTTTTATGTTAGTCTTTAAATGATACAAAAACAAACAGAAACATAAATTACTAACAATTTCATCCCAGAAATCAAACCGCTATTGTACTTACAAATATATCTTCTGTTTTTCTTATCTTCCTTTACATTTATAACATTTATACTCACATAAATATCGACCTCATTTTCATTACTTGTACAAATTTGATAATTCTGCTATAACAAAGTAATGATACATGCTAACTATCTATGATATGCATGTTGTTGGTTGAAGCGACATACTTTTAATACATGTGTCAATATGAATCTGTGTACATGTAAACTGTGCCAGACCTACCCACCCCCATCAACCTTCTAGACACCGGCATTTTAATATCAGTTAAATGAAATAAAAATAATTGCAGGGCTCTTCTTTGTAATGTAATATGCCAAATAACTAAGTGGGATTTGTAACTTTAACATATATACATACATGAAAAAAAGTTTGTCTATAAAAGTAATGGGGCAGCACCACTTTGGCCCTTCATGTAAAATATCTTAAGCTTGAAGGTAACTTGCACTTTCCAGTACCGTCCATGAACAGGCTCTATCAAACCGAGCCTGCAACATTTTCAATTTTGCCGTGTTGGGCTTTCTTAGGGATTCGGTCTTTATCTATTTAATGATCACATCCGTGTTATTTGTGCCGTGTGGCAGCTGTAAAAAGTCTCTCCGTACATTTAATCAATGATGTTATATTTTCGATCCTTGAAGATCGTTCAGCACGACAGTATTGTTGTGCTTGTGGTATTTTTAGTTTCAACTTTTCGGCATTTTTTAGTTGGGTGGTTCCAATATTCCTACTTGAATAATGTTGAATCACCCTTAGGATATGTTGCCTGCTTTTTAAATTTGTCTTTTGACGTCTTATCTGTGATACGCAGGCTTCATAACCTCTGATCCCCTTTCAAAATTCCATTTTATTTAGTTCCGCCCATTGTTTTCTCGTTTTGGGCACACGCTTTTTATTACTTGGGGACCATACGCCGCTTTTCATGGAATGGCACTACTGTGTCACATTGAAGGTTCCATGATAACCGCCGTATGAACACATCTGCGGATGTTTCTAAATTCAAAATTTTACTATTTCACGTTTAAATGTTGAATTCTGCTTAAGCCGGTGCTAGGGGGCGTGGACGGTAACTTGCACTTTCCAGTACCGTCCATGAACAGGCTCAGTCAAACCGAGTCTGCAACATTTTCAATTTTGCTGTGTTGGGCTTTCTTTAGGGATTTGGTATTTATCTATTTAATGATCTAACCCGTGTTATTTGTGCCGTGTGGCGGCTGTAAAAAGTCTCCCCGTACATTTAATCAATGATGTTATATTTTCGATCCTTGAAGATCGTTCAGCACGACATTATTGTTGTGCTAGTGGTATTTTTAGTTTTAACTTTTCAGCATTTTTTAGTTGGGTGGTTCCAATATTCCTACTTGAAAAATGTTGAATCACCCTTAGGATATGTTGCCTGCTTTTAAAATTTGTCTTTTGATGTCTTATCTGTGATACGCAGGTTCATAACCTCTGATCCCCTTTCAGAATTCCATTTTATTTAGTTTCGCCCATTGTTTTCTCGTTTAGGGCACGCGCTTTTTATTACTTGGGGACCATACGCCGCTTTTCATGGAATGGCACTACTGTGTCACATTGAAGGTTCTATGATAACCGCCGTATGAACACATCTGCGGATGTTTCTAAATTCAAAATTTTACTATTTCACGTTTAAATGTTGAATTCTGCTTAAGCCGGTGCTAGGGGGCCTGGACGGTAACTTGCACTTTCCAGTACCGTCCATGAACAGGCTCAATCAAGCCTGCAACATTTTCAATTTTGCTGTGTTGGGCTTTCTTTAGGGCTTCTGTATTTATCTATTTAAATATAAATATGATAATATTGGACATATGAAAATGTGTTCTTATTAGCTCCCTAATTTTAAAACATTTGAAAATCAGCAATTTAAAAATGCAGTTGTAGTCATGAGTTAAACTTTCTGCAAAATTCCTGACATCATTCATGTCCAAAGGTTTGATAGATAGCCTTTAAAAATTGACAATAACATACAACTTATTGCTTTTAAGTGAATTTACATATCTGAAGTAACATCAGTTTCAATTCATAAGAAAATCTTATTTATAACATAATTAAATCATACAAAGCTATATGCTCCAAAAGTAATATAATTACAGAAAACAATCTAAAAAGTTAATAAAAAACGTTATAAAGTAATAAATTTTGTAAAAAAAAACGGAGTAAACATACATTTATATATATTGGGAGGAAACATTATATGTTATTTTGGTTTTGGAATGATATATGTGGATATATAACCCGTCAAGATTTTATATCACCCGAGCCGTAAGGCGAGGGTTATATTTTATCTTGGAAGGTAATATATCCACATATATCACTCCAAAACCAAAATAATAATTTTATTACCCTTCCCCTGCCGAGTTAAGACGATTTTAAAACAAATCATTGCTACTTCAAATGAAACGTCGAAATAAGATTCCCTTTAGGGTACCCCTTCACCACAACATGACGTCACATAAATACATGACGTATTTTCTTTCGAACCTTATGAATGTAAACAAGAGAAAAGGAGTAGTCTGTTGAACGCACTTTTTCGGAATAAATATCAAGCTTTCAAAAGGTCATATTTGTTTTCAATACTGATGAGAATATGTATTATTACCCTACTTTGGTAAATAATAATCATTTGTCATGACAGTTAAAATATGCTTGTAAATCGGAACATCGCGTAAAATCAAACCGTACGCGCATCGCTACAGCGCATGTTGTTTACAACGTGGGGTACCCAACGGGGAAATTTAGTGTGTATATTACCCGTCTGGCTCGGTTATATCAATTTATTTCGGGTGATCAATATCCAATCAAAAAGGCGGAAAAAATCTGGAAGGGTTATAAATTGATATATTCATAAATTGTAATCTCCCTTACTATATACAATTATATAAGAATTTTGAATGAGTCAGTGTGACCTTGACGCGAGGTAGTCCAAAACTGCTGTCTGCACAAAATCTAAGTTATAAAAAAATTCTGTCAGCTAGATTTTATTTCTAACTTTCAAGAAACAGAGTGGACACAAATCTTTGAAAACTGTCCAAAACGACTTGGCGTGAAATTTATCTTGATTTAGGGATCAATCCTAAGCTTAAAACATCATCTCATTATGGTTAATATTCCCATTACCTTCCATGAGTTTAAAAGATACAGACCGGACACGAAAACGCCTTTATAAATCAATGTGCAATCAATTTATCCCCGGGTCAGGGCCAGTTTTAATCTTAAATTCGAACTTGTGTTCTGCACACCGTCTCAATAAGTAATTTATCTGCCAATAGTGTTTTTTTCTTTTTTCTCAAAAGATACAGGGCGGACACAAAAGTTTGATATCTTGATCTTGATCAGAGAAAGGTCAAACTTACGCTCTGCACATCGACTAATTATGGTGAACATATCTTGCTAAGTAAGATATGTAAATCACCGTTTAACATCATTTATTTAAGTAAATGCGAAATGCAGGAAAGCAAAGATGCAAAAACAGCGAAATGTAACACTGCTAGAATATGGCAACATAAATAATATCGATTGTTGCCTTGTCAACCGCCTCGGTATGTTCTATTGTTTTTATCGAAAAGTAATTAGACTGTGAACCAACCACCATATTTATTAGATACATATTTTCTGTATTATTTCGTCCAGGTTAGAGGGTAAAAAAGGTCACATGTGATAAAATATATTATTAATAGGAAATATAGCCCGTGCCGGGTTATTTATTCAAATAATGATTTCACAGGAAAGGGCTGCGCGGATATTGTTCTGACTTCTAAAACTTCAACAGCTGCATATAATATAGTAAGCGAGGTCTAACATGTTTTTTAATTTGTTGATATTTGGTCCCGGTTCTGGTGCCTTTAATGCCTAATCAGCTACAGTTAAGCTCAAATTTAGGGCTTTTTTAATATTTCCTTTCCTTATCATAAGTTTATGTATCGTTTAATCGAGATATAATTAAGAACGATCAAAGTAATATGATAAACATTTACGAACGTGTCATCACTGTCTATATATCACTAGGAATAGTGTCAAATTCCAACCATTGGTTTTCTTACTCAAAGAAATTGAATTAAGCGTACCAGTAATATCAAAATAGTATTGGCGTAATAGAATTTCTGTTTCGTAACTCTACCATTTCAATTTTCATCAAGGTAGTATTTTTTTCGGCTCAGTTCATAACTGACCATTTCTTCACGGCTATTTTCTCGAAAGTAAATCCTTGCGTTTGAGAATAAACATTATTTTCATTTTTTTCCATCGCTAGTTTGTTTCCAGCTAAGACAGGCCCGTGCATGTATAAAAGAGTGCCGTTTTAGTATATTTTGCAATTGGGTACCGATATGGATATCTTTTTTTTTGAAGCAGTGCCGGTTTTAAGGTTATCAATGTCTACAAACAACATGTTTTGTCAAATACAAGCATGTCTACCTGCCAACATGAAATTCAATAAAATGTTGATATACATAACTACGTTACTAAGTTATGAGTATAAATATTGATAGTATAGAACCTGGATGATGTGTTAAGTAACCCTCTATTGATTTATAAATCCAATAGAGAGCTGTCAACGCCAACTGATCTTTTGTGTGTAGACGTTCTTCTTCATCAATATAATTGACCACAGGAAACACTTGATTTGAGTTAACTCCATGGAAGCTAGCAATATTGGCGACTGCCTGTTTAGCTCTTGGACTTTTGAAAAGATGATCAACATTCTCGGATATCTTCGGACAAAGCTTGTCAAATTTGGTTGCAATTACAACCATCGGCAATCCTTAAAGAGAAATATAACAAATTAAATAGCATATACAAAATGTCTCAAACTTGTCTAGATTATTATATATTTTGTTACAATACCAAAACGTTAAATACAAAATGGTAAAAAGTAGAACATGATGTAGAAATCAGGAAAAAAATAACTCTAACCAGCTTTTTTTTCCTCAATGCATTATTTCAAAAGAACAAACAAAAAAATCAACACACTGCCTATTGCGCCGATGTCTTCGTCAAGATTGCTTCAATTTCAATTCCAGATTTGACGGTATTCAATAATAAAAAAAAACGATTCATGACCCTGCACGATTTTCAAGCATAATTATACTGATCTGTCCTTGATTGTTCCGGTTTATGCTGACTCTATTAGATATTTATGACACAATATATGCACAACATTTTTTCTTGGAAACTTCCACCCGACGATTAACAATCAAGACACATTTATCAACGCCTCTGTCTTAAATTTTAAATGAATGTATTGAATAATTTCTTTCTTTGTCGATCTTCGTTCTCATGTTTCAACGACTGTCATAGCCGTTTTTCCTACAGAAGCACAAAAGGCATTCAGATCTGCTTGACAAATACTCATTTTTTTTACAAACACGAACTATCATCGAAACATAAATATTCATAATTTATCTGTTGTTTTAACCCGCAATTATATTGACAAACAACACAATCAGCGCAAAAAGCAGTCAATACGTCCGATTAAAAGTCGATACTTTTTATTTTAAAAGATTATATACTAGACCCTTTGATACACGTTTCCTTATTAATTTTTCAGTGATTTGATTTGTAGCTAAATTTTTGGATGTGCAGTGCATGACATGGTCACCATACATGCACATAAACACCTGTGATCGTTAATCGTGGATCGTATATTGGTCTTATATATCAAGATGCGATTAATCGGTTCCTTTTCCGAAGTAATCTCGTTTCTGTTCGGTATTGTGTTTGGCCGGATGTTATTTTTTATTTGTTTATCTTTATATCATGTTTCTGTAATCTTGATTATTGTAGTCTGTTACAGCAGTGTGTACAGTCAAATTTAATATTTCTGTCGCGTTTTTGCGCTAGTGGTTATTTATCGACCGTAAGAAGTTGCCATATAGCTGGCCCCAAGATTATAAAACCTTTTTTTCTCAGCTCAAGCTCGCATCGCAGGATTTTCATTGGTCAAGTCACATAATGTGCTTGTTACTGAGGATTGACTGCTCAGATCAGCAATTATATAAAATCTACTTCATGATAATTTATTATGTCATTTTAATCTATTAAAAAATTTCGAAGTTCTAAAGTTTCTTCCTTTTTTAAAAAGGTAATGTTTATGAATGTTTGTGGAAGTTTTGAAGAAGTTAATTATTAGTCAATATTGATATCATTTAAACCAAGATTGTCAATTAGTTAAAGAATAATACAAGTGTGAAACTATTTCTATATAACATAATACCTTTATTAGAGATAATACGGTTGACCCTACTGATGTGGTCCTTATACCCATAAGAAAAGTAATCTGATTTATCTTCTACATAGCAGATTAAATGCATCTGATCATTTAATGTTGGATTTGGTCTTTCTTTTATAGTATGATCTGGATTGAACGTGTCTGAAAACTAGAATATATAAAGTATATGAAAAATCTACACGCTAAAGAGTTTTAACACCGGACGGTTATACAGAATAAATCAAAACTTTACCTATACGGCAATTGCAAATGTTGCAGGCTCAGTTTAATAGATTATATTTAATTTAAATAAGATGTGAAGAGGTGTTATTTGCAAGTCCTTTCCCCTGTAAACTTAATGAGAAGCCATTTTTGAAATATAGGACAACACACTGTAAAACATCTGTAAAAGTGTTCATAGAAATGTAACAATTAATATGGCACTTTCATACCTTTCCGTGACAAGTGACATATTACCTATGAGTACAAGTGTGCGTAAATCCAAAGGGAAGTCTTCTTAAATCATTGAGAAGGGGTACATAAAAGTACGCGTAAAACAAATGGCTTCACTCATTATATCTTCAGTGTGATTTATTTGTATTAAAATAGGAATAATAACTTGGCCAAAAAGTATTCCAATTACAGAAACACAGTGCGATTATTTTGGTAAAAAAACCTGGGATGGGGAATCATCTGAGAAAATGTATGGAAGTTTTTGATATAATGTGGACAAATTTTATGATAAATCTACATGGTTTAAGAACCTGAAATCAAATCAAGCAATGAATGGTAACATTTATCTGATGAATACCTGAACATATCAGAAAAAAAAAATAAAGACGACATTTTAAATCACATTCAATACAAATCAGGCCAGCTTATCCCTAGTCGCTTAGCAAATCAAATAAAGTCGAGAACATTTTTCCTCTTCAATCGTTGCATGGGATATGTCTATATCTAAATGTTGATAATTTAGTATACCAAAATCGAATTCATCTCTTTTACCATAGATTTTTATGTGTGTATGTATGTACTTTTATAGTATTGTTATCGACTGAAATATGAAGATCCAAAAAAGATGTGGTAACTTTTCAAGAATTCATTTTATTCAGTTAAAGTTTTTATGGATAGATATTAGACACCATTTGATCAAAATAAGAATTATCTGGATTGAAAGTGTCACAATGTTAGATTTTAAAAAAGCTAGTAGCGACTCGCTTCGTTTGTTTTTTTCAAGGGGTGTGTTTAAATGTAAAAATGACAGTTCTGCTAGCCTAAGAGACTTCAGCGAACACCAAAATGAAAGTGACATATAAAGTTATGGAAGCCAGTTCTCTCAGTTTAACAAAGAGGAATATGAGTACATATGAAGAAGCATGTAAACAGATAGAATGAAGTCCCTATGTCTATGCACATTTACTATATGTCCTGTAGACCTTGACCAAAACATTGTTAGATAGGTAGAATTCTTAAAGATGTCTCTTTATACGAAGTTAAGTTGTAATATGTTATTTAGTATTGGAATAATTGACAGACACATGTGTACAAGTTCTCAAGACATTGGTACATATTCAATATTAAAGCTGGAGGCATTGAAGTTTATATCAATAAGACTTAAACATATTTCCCCTAAGCATTTTAATAAAAATTATGTCCACTTCATCTTGGTATGTGAAACATATTAAAAAAATGGATATGATGTAGATACATGAACAAAATTTTAGAGTGGTCAACAAGGCAATACCATATGCCAAATATTTAAGGTTTAGGCATTAATAAGGTATAAAGGTGTGCGTATGTGTTTCTATATAAGACGTGTCCTTGACCTATGTGTAGAACAATATGAACAACTATGAAAGAGAACTTCTGATAGTATTAGATTTATAGCGATCCCGGGAATTAACCTCTGCCATGACATATTCAGAAAAGCCTGGATCGTATTAACCCATTACGCGATATACACGCATTTTAACGCCTTTTTCACCCCCCTTTTTTGTTGTCTTAAATGGTTAAAAATGCCTTATTTAGGCCCCCAACATTTGTTTTTTGTTGAGAAATGATGTTTAAAAAAGTGACCACTCTTTCGGCGCGTCCCCCAACAAAAAGATACATCAGGGGGTTGCCAGAAGGGGGATGTGCCCCCTTCTGTTTGGGGGATTTGAAGGGGACGGCAGTCCCCCTCATCGGCAAAAAAAATTTGGACTTGTTACAGGCTAAAAATGACCCCAGATCGACAAACCAACTCTGAAACTCTTGACTCTATCTCAATGCATTGAGAAGTTGCAGCACTTTGAAATCAATTTTAATGGAAAAAACATTTTTGTTATCAATTATGTTAAGTATATCTTATGATCTTTTCTAAAAATAATATTTAAATACATAAACATAAAATTTAGCCAAATATTATATTAACAAAAACTTAGATTTTTTTCAATTAGGCATATCATTACAAGTATTGCGATTTCCGCATTTTAATTTGTTAATAAATAGCTTTAAATATTTTTAAATCTTAAGTTAAATTAATGTACCATTTATTACATACAGTAAAAAATAAAACGTTATCGTTTAATCGCCTTTCATTACGACAATAATCAACACAAATATAGTTTATTCCTTTTCCCTATATATCTAATACTATCCCGGATTCCGGGCGTCCCGGATCCCGGGATGTTCCCCCCCACCCTAAATACCGGAAAGGATAAAATGACCGGAAAAAAAGAAAAAAGAAAAAATGCACAGAACCAGATATGCACTTATGTCAACTTACCAAACAAAAACTTACTACAGAGAAAACAGTTGAAATCGCTAAATCAAAAGTCAGTGTAAATATGATTTATTGAAAAGAATTCAAGAAAACAAACATTTTAATCATCATTATATCTTTGCACTCAAAGCAATACTTGCTGTTTTTTAAAAATGGCATGGAAATTGAACGTTTTTTGACGCTTTGTAAGATTAAATTTGACTGGCTAAATAATTTTGGATTCCAGCCCTGACAGATACATTTTGTAGAAAGCTGGAATCCAAGCTTCGATTAAATTTTTGGATGGATTCGGAGTTTTAGGTTGTTTCTCAGTAAAATCCTAACGTAATACCGGCTCGCCGTGGCGAGCCGGCATAATGGTATCGGGAAGTGTAATTAAATGCTACGATTGGATCTTGTTGTGTATCTTCAGAGAGACCCAACATAAAGTCTCTTTCATAGAAATACAAATACGAATCGGCGATCATGGAAGCAATAGTTCAAACCTGACATAAATGTTGTTTAAAACAACATAGAGTACTCTTCAAACTTTGTCAAAGGTCAACATGATTGTATAAAGTTGTAGTTTATCATTCATCAATTTATGTTGCTGCTTTGTATAAACGGTAAACCGACAGTGAAAAAAAAATTCAACAGAATTTTATGGACCAAAAATATGTTTGCCTGTATTTCGTTGATTTTGTCACATTATCTAATTAAATGTGTTGTAAAGTGACATTATGTTAATTATCTTTTTATCAAGTTGAGTTGAACTGCTTTTACATTTCAAAAGATTGACAATAAAAGTTGTGATGGACCAATTACTGATGTTGGAAAAAAAGGATAAAATTTTAATCTGCCTCAAATAAAAAAGACCGTCCCGCTCTTTTTATAAATTGAACGTAACATTAAATTCCAATTTATTGAAATTAACTTGGTCATTTCAGTAATTTATCGCAAGGTAAATTATAAAATCGAAACGAACTATGGCAAAATGAAAACATTTTTGACTGTTTAATAACTTTAACCTATGGTTGGGTATACTGTCATTTCAATAGCAAACAAAGTATTCTTGTACGACAAGAGGTATCAGACCTTGTAAGTTTTTTATGCAACTTAGGAATCCAATACATCATTGAGATTGGAAATATTTGTGATATGATTCTTCTTTGCAGAAGCAGTAGTCCGACACAGTAACAAACAAAAACAAGAAAAAAAACCTAACAACGAAGGATTTGCTTAATGCGATGCACGGACTGGTGTTATTATAAACACTCAAATAAATGAATTCATAGAAAACCAACAAGTACAATAAAGAACACTATTATTGAAAAGGCAAAATTGGTAAGGTGAATGGGACTAGAAGGGTGGGGAGGGCGTCGGACAAAATTCGAAAAACTAATAAGAAAGGATACTTATTATTGGCGGCAAAACAAGCAAGAAACACATCAAGTAAAATGCCCAGCAATAAAAAGGCTTGATGGGTATTTGAAACCTCTAAATAATGCACCAAACTTTCCCAGGATTCCTGTGAACAAGACATTGTGAAAAACCAGACCTCAAGCAAAATGTAAACAGAACAGCCATTAAGGTTATCAAACTTGATATAAGTTACAAAACAGAAATTATCATGTAGAGTAATACTCGTATAACAAAAAACCCAATTGGTAAAATTTTCTTTTTAATTACCTTAATGTAAAGAAGATCCAGAGCAATACGACAATCACCTACAAAAGCCGACGAATTAAGGCGGAAGGTGATTAAGACAATTTAGTCCAAGTTAGTTTGAAGAACTTTCCATGAGTCTCCAAATCGTCTTGCATATTTAATAAAAAAGAAAGAAAAAGCTTAGTTTCAAGCTGTAAATTGTTTAAAAAAAAACATGTCATTGGGATATGCTTTGAAATAGCCAGAAGATAACATTTTTGAGGAGAACGTTCATTAATTATATGGCAGTCAAAATAACAGATATATTACTAAGTTTGAATATCAAGTCTTCATAAAACTAGTCTCGCTTATCCACAGCCGAACAACAACAACAACAAATTGTTACTGAAGTTTGAAATAAGTTCATTGACGGTAGAAAGTAACAAAATAATGTAAAATTGGATGGGAATTTTAGGTATCAAAGACAGCCCAAAGCTCGAAATTGACAAAATGAAAAAAGTATCATTTTTAAAAGCGACCTCGTGGTAGGATAATTGAAATAAGCTGGATATTTTATTGATAAGAAACACAGTATGAGTGTCATGTTAAATCTTATGTTACTGAACACATGTAGAGGACAATTTTCTTTGACAGGGGTAATAGTTACAGACAAGAAGGACAACACATCTCATTGAAAAAAGTTGAACTTGATATTCAACAATTTTCCTAGTGCGAATTTCGGTTCAAAACACTAGTCTTGCTCCGTTTTTGGCCCGAACCCCATCATACTTAAGATTTTTTTCATAGCAAGCTTACAGAATATCGATGATTTTACTGAGGTGTGTTTGTGCGTGCAAAAAATAATGCACAAAAATAATTTGTATTCCTCCACCAGTAAAGTTGAGCTGATGCCATTTGATCTTCACACTGTTGATACGATTTGAGCACAACCAAACATAAAAAGTTTACTAAATATATCGTTTAACTATTGAATTAGATCTTATTTGAAATACATTATTGATTTGGCGGATCACTTTACTTGATAGTTTTCGGGTAGCTGTCCATCTATTAAAAGTTCAAGCTCTTTGTCAGTCTCTCTTCCACATTCAAACCCTCTTATGTCAACAAAACGGATTTTCATTGTGTCTCCATTTGCTGACCTGAGGTCATATTTCTTTATCTACGCAAGAAAAAAATATGAAAGAATCTACAGAAATGTTCATTAATAACGACATAATTAACGTCATTGAATCGTTCAGATAATGAATATAATACATGGATATCTTATAGCTGTTTTTCATTTCCACGAGTAGGATATATCAATCTAAATAAAACTCGTACAATAAGGTTATCAAATTAATCAACCGAAAATAAAAATGAGAAAATTGATTACAAAAAGTATGTAAACTTGTATTTTTAAACTATTAAAACTCTGACATAAGGAATAGGCTAAATATCCCCCAGCAAGTTTGCTAATCTTAGACCGATTTGCATATTCCTCATGTAAAGCAATTAAAAATATAAAAACCTGATTAGTGACACATGATGAAGAATTTCTAGACTGAGCAATTGGTATAGTCTTCCCTGTTATCAATGCTGATAATGTGTTAATGAATGAAGATTTCCCTGCTCCAACAGAACCCACTAGCAAAACGTTGTATTGATCGATATCTAAACCGGATAGTGGTACCATTTGAATGAGCTCTCTTTTCTTGTTTTCAAAAGCATTGCCCTTCAAAATAATTTTTTGTGCGTAAAAAATCAATCAAGCTTAAATGAATAAGTTAAAATTTTCAAACTTAAAGCTTTGATTTAAAGTGAAACAGTCTATAACTGAGGTCTGTAATACCATAGATAATTATGTTCATACTATTAAGTATCACAAGAAACAACACACCATATAAGGAATATTTATGATTGTTTTTATAATTGAAATATACATGATCCGATTGAACATATTTATATAAAGCAGATCAATTTTGTTCTAAAATATTATTATTCATCATATACATGATATAAAAGTTTATATATAATCATTTAGGACTCAACATTTGTAGAAATGATATATTAGAATATCCAAATGATACATTTCTATAGTTTTATTATCAATGCACTTTAAGATACATGTTGTTTTATTCAATGTTATACAGCAAATTAATAGCTTCGTTCCGAAATTTTACTTAAAAAAAACATTACCTCTATTCTTCTCAGCCAGTCTACTTCGAACTCATCATCTAAATTATAATTGTGAACGTAAAAAATTTAGTAATTCGTTTAATTCACCTGTCCATTAAATGACTTAACGGTAGAAATATGAAAGAAATTAGTTTCATTAATGTTTTTGCAATATTTAATGAAATTAAGTTTTGTTATTTTTTTACTTTATAGACATGTTTAAAAACTTTGTCTTTGACATTTTAATGCATGAAGGAACATAATATATTTATCTATGTTCTTCTATTTCACATGAATTAAAAAAAATATTTCAAAGTTATGCTTAATTGTTAATTGTCGTTTAACCACATAACATTTTCTGTGCATTAATTGTAAGATATCTTTACGATTACAGCTTAATGAATAACTAAAGACTGGTACACGCATGCGCACGCACACACACACAAACACAGACATTTACCTGTGACCTGGAAGACCTCAAGTTTTCTAACTATCATTGTTCCGGAATTGATATTTCTCGCTTTTAGTTTTGACTCGCCATCGTCATCTACAGCACTTTTCTTGTATGTCTTGTCTTGTTTTTCTGCAGAATATGAGTACTTCATGTTTAGCGAGCCATTCAATTTCATTAAATTCCCCATTTTCTTCGATTCTGGCTTTGAATCCTTTTTAAATGTCTGCAGGTCATACCGGTTAAACACTCCTACACCAAAAGTAGGGCCGAAATGTTTATCGCGTACTATAGCATTCTCTGTCTGATCCTTTTTAATTGGAAAGAAGACACATTTTGAATCTAAACTGCCATTCTTTGTAAAAAGGAATGCGTTTTCATCCTTTACTCTTTGCTTTTTTTTAGTTGACCTCCAGCTTTGAGATGTGTAGCCGCCAAATAATGTATTAGATTTGCCATATAAGATAGTCACTGTAGAGCCTTTAGCGTCGCATTTCTCATGAAACTCCTCTACATCCACTTTGTCAGTGGCCTTATAAAGCAAGCAAAAGCCTATTTTCTTATTTCTGTCTTTACTTATCCGTTCACCAATTTCATTCAAAAGTTGTTGTTTTGACGCACTCATCGTGTTGCTAAAATATACAATTTTAAGTAAATACATATTAAGAATAAAATCGTTTGAGATATTCCGTCTTGAGTGTGCATTATGTATATAATGGTGTCTTGTAGAAAAATCTTAATAGAATTAAATGATCAGGTCATAAACATGTAAACATTTAAATCATTACCTCGTTAAATATCTTTCAGTATAATTGAATTATTAAGTCATAAACATAAATTATAGTAAGATTTAGGCTATTGGTATAGAAATAATTATAAAATCATCAAACACTATTCAAATAACTTAGAATAATATCTGGATTCTTTCCGTTTCATCTCAATATGTTTATATAGTTATTTATACCAAAAAGTCATTCCTATGTATTTGAAATGATTTTCTTCAATTTGCCTTCTAAATGGCTTCAACTTACCCACTACCATCCATCGACAAACTTTATTAAACTGAACTTGCAACATTTTGAGTTTTGGCGTTTTTGGCATTTTTACATAGGTTCATTCTATAAAATTCTACGCGTTTTAATAAACGCGTTATAAAACCTCCATGTTTAAAATTATTTTAGTAGTTTGCATTAAACTATTGTAACAGTTCAAATATGTATTCCTAGATGATTTCACCATTGCTTTACCATGTTTACAATGCTGAAAAACAGTGTTAATATAATTCGCTCTGGCTGCAGCATTTCTTAATGAAAGGTAAAGTCCATTGTATCATAGTTGAGGGACCTTTCTGTTGAAAATGTGTCAGAGTTAAATCGTATACATATATATGCACAGTGCGTTAACTGGAGTGCAGGTATTAATTACCCGAAATCTAGTGCATACTCATTGACTGTCTAATTTTTTCTTGTGGCGGCACAGAAAGGGACATCGATATACATATCATATTCAAATGTACGAACATTTGTTACTTTTTTCTGGAATTTTCTTTTTGTGACAACAGGGAACGTGTTTTTATTTTTGCCTATGAATCAAAAGCGAAAAAACATTAAAACACTCGGCAATCTAATTTATACTCGCAGCCTTCGCCCCCTTGTACAAATCAGATACGATGCTCTTTTTATTAATAGTTACGTACAACAACGCTAACGAAGACTGTTGAATTTTAGCTATGAATACAGGGTATTGTTGAAACGTTCGGTCACACTGTTTGATTTTAAAGCGAACACATTTTTAAGATCCCATGTTTTAAATTAGTTGATCATAACGTTTATAGTCTATAGGAATACAAGCATATACCTTAACATATCTAAAAAAATCATTCAATTATAGGCCTAATACCATTTGCTAGATATTTCTAAGTTATTTTGTTTATTAATAAATAGGATCAAAGTTTTAATAATAATGTACAGCATTTTTATAAGCCCGACATTACATTGAGGCGTTCATCGTTCATCCGTCTGTTAACAATTTAGTGACTACTCGATATCTTTCGATTTGATGGAAGCAAATTGAAACTACTTGGTAAAAAGTTAACTAAATGTATTTCGAGACGATCCGCAGTACGCAGGTTGTACTTTTCTCAGACCCAGCCCTTCGGGTCAATTGATTTATATCGACTTAATTAGGAAAACACATTTTAATCTTATTATATGAGACTACTACTTTCTTAATCGATTGTTTTTATATGCCGTAAAGGTTCGGGCATATCATTTATACCCCCTGCGTCCTGTCTCTCCGTTAGTAATTTGGTTTTCGGAGCATAATTTAAGTTTCATTTGGCCAACAATATTCAAACTTCATAGGATTATTGTCCATATTGTGTACAATACTCCTAATGATTTTGGGGTCAAAAGGTCAAAGGTCAAGGTTACTTTGAGGCGTCATCGTTCATAGATCATAACTTAAGTTCCATTTAGCCCACAATATTCAAACTTCACAGGACGATGGTCCATATTAACTAACATATCCCTATTTATTTTTGGGTCACAAGGTCTAAGGTCAAGGTGACTATTACCTTAAAACTGAAAACAGTTTCCGGAGCATAACTTAAGTTTCATTTGGCCCACCATATTCAAACTTCATAAGATGAGTGTCCATATTGAGAAAAAGATCCCTATCGATTTTGGCGTCACAAGGTCAAAGGTGAAGGTTACTTTTACCTTAAAGTTGAAAACAATATCCGCTAAATAACTTTAATATTAATCAACCTACAGCTAATAAATGTTTTAGGATGAATAGCCATGTCAAATTCATGAACCCTTTTGATTTTAGGGTCTTTAGATCTAAGATCAGGGTCACAATGATCTTTTCACTAAAAATTGTGGTTTCTGGAACGTAACTTAAGTTCACTTTGGCCCACAGTGTTCAAACTTCATAGGATGATTGTCAATATTGAGTAAAAGACCCCATCAATTTTTGGGTCACAAGATCAAAGGTGAAAGTCACCATAAACTTAAGACTGAAAACGGTTTTCGCTCAATAACTTTAGTATTAAACAACCTACATCTGTACAATTTTATAGGATGAACAGCCGTGTCCAATATATGACCCCTATTGATTTTATGGTCATATAATCAACGGTAAGGGTCACAATGACGTTAGCACTGAAAGTTGTGCTTTCTATAGTATAGTACAGTGTTCAATTTTCATATGATGATTGCCTATATTGAATTAAAATCAATATCTATCTTGGGGTCACAAGGTCAAAGGTCAATATCAAATGACCTTAATATTGTTAACAGTTTTACAACTCTCAAACTTCATAGGATGATCACTTATATTGAGTACATTAATAATATGCCCTAAGAAATTTGCTTATACTGTATGTGTATTTAAATTCGCGGAAGCAAATTTTCGCGGAAAGGTCCACTTTGGGGGTCTATACAAATATTCGCGCTATTTTGAATTCGCGGAGTTGACAACCGAAAATCATAAATTCGCTTAGACCACTCAGGTTAAAAAAGGAAAATAACTGTTATCATCGTGGGAGTTCACAGTTATTTTCAATACTAGGGTCAAACAATACTCTATTGTACAGAAAAAAAGACATTGTCTAACGGACAGATTATAGCAAACAAAAGAATGCCCGTTAACGTGCATAATTTTTCACAGTTTGCGTCATAAACGTCTTGACATCTGATCAGATCATGTTTTGGTTTTTCTGAACAAACAATTAAAAATACAAACATAAACGATTTTAAATAATGAATAACTTGAAAAACAAAACACAATTACTCAGTAAAGATTTAAATGAAAAATGTGAAAGCATATCACACACTGATATACATTGTTCTATAGAAAATATGACTATTAAGAAATTATTGGTGTAGAAATATTCTCGCTAAACATGAATTCGCGGATCGAATGTCACCGCGAAGATCGCGAAAATTTGAAGCCCGCGAATATTTCTACACATACAGTATTATGTTATACCCCTGGCGTCTTTCCGTCCATCCACTTTCGGGCATATATTGATCCGCCTAGCGGTGCTCTTGTTTATAATTGCGCACAATATCCCTTTTGGACAAAATATAGAGTAGATTAGACAGCACTTGACTTAACCTAACATGACATTGACCTTGTTAATCATGACTAAATTGTATTTAGTAATTAAATTTTATACAATTTTTTTTTATCTTAACCTTTTATCAAAATGATTTTTAGAAATAAAAAAACAGTCGAGCATGGCATCCGCGTGGCTGTGATTCTTGTTTGTAGTTTGTAATGATTTTTTCGTTACACTTTTAAGTTGACAGTTTGAAGTAAATAGAAAGAAGTAAGGTCGCATAACTTTTTAAAAAAAAAATTAAACGTAGAATCAATCGTCAAATCAAGTTTCGATGGGCAATTTATAGAAAATGGAACCTGTTGTTCAACTAATTCTATACTTTGGCAGGTTGTTCGCAACTCAGAAAATTGTCGTTGGTAATAATGAGGCTTTAAGTTCAATATGAATTTTCATGAGAATCTTAATGATAAACAAACTCGGTATTTCACTTTGCGTAGGCGTTTTGAATTTAATTCATTAATGTCAACACTTTTGTGGTATTTGGACTCATGTTCAGACCCGGATGTGAAGAAAACGCTGCAATCAAATTATGAAAGCTGTAGTCAAGACTTCTAAGTTCAAGAAAAGTTGTTTTTTTACACAGTAATCAGTAGACAGCATCTGATAATAATGATGATCATCTTTTTTTTAGTTAGAGCTGCTTTTCAGAGTCATATCGCAGATTTAATTTAGAGAAAAACGACAGCAAGACGAGTGATTGATGAGGTGAAATCATAATCACTGTGATAAATCGTAAAGTAGAACGTGCACGCAAGCAAGTTGTAATTAAACAACTATAACTTGATCAGTAGTTCGTTTTGGAAAATAACACAAACACGAGAATCCGTGCGTTTTCCATTTGTGTGAAAGAAAATTGTGTTAGCTCAAATAAAGTTCCGACGACGTCGAACAACTGTTATCTGGTACATGACAATTGAATTGAATAATACAGACAAGTGAGGAATTTTCACATCTTGAAATGACACGACAAAATGTTAATCATCTGGAGATGGAATGATTTATAACCATCTTAAATTGTCGGGATGGTTGATTACAGAATGTTGAGGAGCAGATGATTTTGAACGCTTTTTCCGTGATGTACGCGCTGCATCAGGGATTTAATCTACGAAACTGAACTATTAAAATTCATTATTTAAGCAACGGAACACTAAAGAGTAATCAAAGATGAATTCCGGCCAATGTTCATCTCAAAAACCAAACCATAAAGATGTAACAGCACCGGTCAATAAGTGACACAGAAACAAAAACACGATAATAAAAAAGCGGATATAAAATGATTTTGACATTTTAACGACAGCAAATAAGTGTACATTCTCTCCTCTTATATACACTAAACCTCGAAAAAATATCACTCAAGTATAATTACTTTGCGACTGACGTAGGTTGTTAATATATTGAAAGATTTTTCAAAGATTTATACAATGTCATGTACGCTTGTTTTCATACAGAGCTTAATTTTTGATATTTAACAAAACGCTTTTCTCTTCATTATTGGATAATTGC